GATAGATAGATAGATAGATAGATAGATAGATAGATAGATAGATAGATCCCTTTATCCCATGAACAGATAAAGAGAAATAGGTAAGCATTGTTCTTTTTTTAACCTTACGTTATTTGTTTCTTGTTTGTTAAATAGGCAAAAGGTAAACATCTATATATTAATCACAATATCCTTTATGTGAATGGTTTTAATCTATTTATGCTATGCTATTGCAATTATTTTGGAGGTCATAAGAAAAGCCTATTGCTTGAGCTTAAAGTTACCTCGTACTATTTCATAAATAATATAGTATAAACACAAGAAATGTTCAACTTTTTGTTTAATAAATATCCTGTTGATGCATTATATTTAAATTAAAAGCCCTGATTTATGACTTATTTTACTCCAATGCTTATTGAAATGTTTATATATCTTATTTTTTATTTTATTTTTTTTTTGCTGCGATATGCGCTGAAAAATGTCGGGATGTTGATCATTTCCATAGGTGGCAGTGAAACGCATAAATGACAGTTTGAGTAAACATCAAAAGAAGAAGAGAAAGCTCAACTGCGCATGCTCATGTTGATGTGAAAATGGCGGCACTCCTGTTGCAGGAGTTGGAGGCTTCCGAGCTATCTAAGCTACCTAAAACAATTCAAAGCAAACTAGAAAAGATTATTTCTGATCTTCAGCATGAAATCCATTCATCGAAAGCGCAGCATGAACAGTATCGGGTTGACAGTGGTAAGTTTGTTGTTTTTGTAGGTGGAGCTAACTGGAGCTAGTGTATGCTAACGCCACGAGCTAACCCAGTTTTAATTTAATTGAGGGAACTTTAATTAGTATCAGTAACATTTTGTTCATTTGTTGTCTTGTTTATTTTTATCATACAGAACAACAGTTTTTTGAAAAAGCTAAACAGCTTGCTCTGAGTCAGACAGAGCTTTTGACCCAAACTGAAGAACATCTTAAACTCAAGAAGGAGTTCGACAAGCTCAGTATGTGTCAGCACGATGTTACCGTTTTATTTACATTATTAGCTTGGCCGCGGTTAACCGAGTTGTAATAATCAATCTTTATTGCAGGCGAGGAACTTAAAAGTGTCCGTGACAGAAATGTGGAGTGTGAAAATGCTCGAGAAAAGTTATCAACAGAGCAGGTAAAGTAACACTAAAGGTCACTTTCGATCACCAAAAAATGATTTCTTTAAAATAATACATTTCTGATGTAATTTAAGCAAATGATCCATTATAAAGCTGCCCCTTATGTAAAATAGATACAGAATGAAAGACCAGTGGCCGAATGGCTCGAAGTTTTCTCGAGCTGACTTGCTGCTTCATGGGGATTGTCTGAAGGCAGCCTCCTATTATTATCCACCTGAAGTATCTCGCTCTTCTACCAACTTTAGTGCAACCCGAACCACAATGTCAAACCCCACACATTTTATATCATGATATTTTTGTCTCATTTGTTTAACTGGGTTCTATTTAGGATTTGTGTGAAATATTAGATCATATATATGCAGAAATATATATTTTTTTTACAAAGGGTTCACAAACTTTCAAGCACCACTGTGCATTTAAGTGATGGGGAAAGGCATACATCATATCAGTAATGGGTGTTGTTGTATGTACAATGGCCTGACCTCATGGCATAATTACATCAGAAGACCAGATCCTGTCCTTGAAATGAGTTATTTCAACTCTTTCTTTATGAAGTAGTTCAGGTTCTTTCCAAAGGTTTCTCAGTAGTTGTCTGCTCACAAAAGACAAAGTTTTTAATGCTACAATTAATCACCAAATGAAATTAAACACCATTTATAAATGTGGCCTGCCACTGTTTATCTTGTTACTTTTCCACTATTTTGCTGAGAAAATCTCCCATCACGTCAAGACTGGTAACAATCCCTAATGACAACTGTATTTTAACAACAGCAGCAACACCTTTTAGGTCTTCTCTTGGTCTAATAACCCCCAGAATATTAATAAAATTGGAATTTGATTGCATCTGTGCAAACTATACACTGTGATCACAAGCACCAAGATGTTATTTGTCTGTATCCTTACTGGACAGCTGTTTTGGAGGTTGTACTCATTACAACCTTCTCTAACTTTTGAATAGGATGCTAATGGCTCAGAGTAGGAGGCTGGAGTGATTTTCCTACATAAACATTGCACATAGATGTACTGTTTGGCAAAAATGTTGGTGAATGCAGACTGTTTAAACACCGATCACTGATGAAAATGTCTTACCAGCATCACAGGCATGTGAATAGTTGTGAAATCATAATCAGTAGCAGTCAATCAGTTTTGTAGAGGAAGGAGAACAAGACACCGGTACAGTCAAAGAAAAGAAAAGTAATGATTTATTTGTTGCAGAACAACATTACTTTCAGATGAACGTGGTCTGCTCATCAATAAACTACCTTTCTTTTCCTCCATCCCTGGGAGAGCTTTGCTTCTTTACATATCGGGCTCATGTGAGCACTGGAGCAGTGAGGGGAGGAGTGGGTGACCTTAGCATTTGCTTACAGGCCAACTCTGAGACTTGGGACTTTTTTTTTTTTTATCCATGACTTTTTTTAGTCGTGGAAAATCTGTAAGACTTGACTAGAATGAAATCAGGTGTATACTACATTCAGCAATAGTAAAAGCAGGAAGGATTTTTTTTTTCATCAGTCAGTGTAGGCTATGCAGGACACTTGAGTAAGCAGCGAAATAGCCCCCTGCTATTGGGAAGGCAGCTCATTATTGGAAAAGTGGTCATACAATTATTAGCATTCCATGTATAGACAAACATTTATGGTAGTTAAGTTGCTGTTAAATGTTTAGGTATAATTCATAAATTGTTCTCTTGACCTATATAACAACTGTTATTTGTTTAGACTTTGCTCTCAAAAGCCAAAGAAGACCTGGAGGCAGAAAAGCGAGAACTTATTCGAACACTGGATAGGAGATCTCTGGAAGTAGAGCATTTAAATGGTACAAATAGATGTATTTACACTTTTTAAATATTTTTGTAATGCACTTAAATATTGAATATGTCATTAATATTCTTAATTTCTTTGCCAGATGACTTGAGGCAACTCAATGATAAGTTGGTGGAAGTCAATACTTCTAAGATTGCTCTGCAGATGAAGTTGGATGAAGTTGAAGCAGCGGAAGTAAGCATAAAAGTAAGTTATGTGCCTGCTTTTATTAGAATGTCTGCCCCTCTGATTTGGATTTGATGTCCTAAGTAAAGTACTGATTGAAATTTGTTTTTACATCTCCAGTACAAAGAGAAGCGAATGGAGCAAGAAAAGGAGCTGTTACATGACCAAATATCTTGGCTAAAAGACGAGCTGAAGGCCAAGACGGAAGAACTGCTGTCTTTGTCCCGGGAGAAGGGTAATGAAATCCTGGAGCTAAAATGCACCCTGGAGAATAAAGAAGATGAGGTAAGTTTTTTTAACATTTTCCAGTAACGTAAAAAGCTTATATAATCTGCTCGTTATACCCTGTACTATACTTAATAGCCAGGATGTCCTGATGCATGCTCAATAACCCAGGTAGATGAATCTAACAAGGATGAGTCGGGTCCTCTGGACGGATGGACCGATTTATTGGCCCCAATTTCCTTAATTTTGGGAAATCGGAAATCGGCTGATTTTCCCTTTTTATTTTTTGTTTTAACAACAATTGTCTGAACTTTATTTATATTTCAGAGCACTACCTCATGGCCAGTTAAAACAAGTTTGTATTGTTTCTAGGATATTGTTCAAGGGTATGTTTTTCAACAAAATAATATTGGAAATTTGAAGGTGCATTGTGACCTTATAACACCTGACAGTGTCGCTTATAAAACAAAATCTGTATCGGCCAAAATCGGAATCGGCAGGTCAGACTTTTTAGAAATCGGTGATCGGCCAGAAAACTGCAATCGGTGCACCCCTACTTCTGTAGTCTCTTTCTGCTCATTTGTTATCTGGAAGTTGTTGTACGTGTTGAGATGCTTCAAAGATATTTAATTTTAGATTTTCTTTCATCTAATGTTGTCTTTCTCTCTCTCACACACTTTTTCTCTTACTCTTTCTCTCTCTTTCAGTTAAAAAACCTCCAAGATCAAGTGGCGAGTCTGAAGACTTCAAATGAACACCACCAGAAACAAAATGAGGACATGATCAGCAAATTAAAAGAAGTACGTATAGACAATTTTTAAGTTTTAGGATGCTTTAGTTATTACTTTTGTCTAAATATTATGCAACAAAATCTTCAATTTAGTAAATGAAAAAGCACTTTAGGAAAATTGTTAATAATGTGAATGACCATGTTGTCCCCCCCCATCCCCTTTTCTTTTCAGGCAAAGGAGCAACAGACTACAATAGAGGACAAGTTTAGAAATGAACTGAATGCCAACATTAAGCTTTCCAATTTATACAAGGTAGGGACAAATGTTTAATAATTTATTTCAAGTGTTGTGTTGTTCCACTAGTACATTAACTCTGTTTACATTAATTTCACCTTAAACCATGAAGTGTTTTTTTTTATTGTTATTATAGAAAATTTGCTATTATGACACTTTTTTCTGTTTTTTGCTTGGCTGAAATTATCGTGGTAAAGTTTCATGTTTTCTTACAGGAAGCAGCAGCAGATTCCGAGTCAAAGAGCGAGGAGCTGAGTCGAGCAGTGGAGGAACTGCATAAGCTTCTGAAAGATGCTGGAGAAGGTGCAGTAACACCACATGCACAGTAATCTTTAAGAGCATGAGCTACCATTCTAAAATCTCATTTTCTTCCTTCCAGCTAACAAGGTTCTTGAAGAGAAGCTGCAGGAAATGACTAGTGCATCTGATAAAAATGCCGGTGAATTAAAGGACAGGATTCAGAGTCTTGAGAAGGAGCTGGACAACGCCAATGAACTGCTCTCAAGTTCTAAACATAGAAGTTAGTCGTTTTGAATTCATTATTTTGGTTACTTTTTAAATTACTTTACATTTCTAGTCAATTTCTTTTCTGGCAAAAGCTTGCTCCAAATGTTGCTGGGATAGCTGATTGATTTATGATTGTCCCATTTGATTTCTAAAACCAGGTTCTGTTGGTTCTGCTGTACTGACTGAGGAGCAAATAACAACAATGTCTCCAACAGCAGCAGCTGTGTCCAAAATCAAACCTGGCATGAAGCTGACTGAGGTATGCAAACCTCTGTTTCAGCATTCAAATACTAGACTTTATTTGAACAAGTAGTAAAATCCTGAAATTGTTTACTTTTCTATCAGCTATAAATATTTTGTCTGTGCTCATCAATTGTGCTCAAAGAGCACTGAGACACTTTCCCTCCTCTTTTAACGCAAAGCATGTTTTCAGTTGTACACAGCATATCTGGAGAGCCAGGAGCAGCTGCAGTTGGAGCGTCTGGAGAATAAACGAGTCAACAAGTATCTAGATGACATTGTGCAGGAAGTAGAAGCTAAAGCCCCAATGCTCAAACGGCAGAGGGATGAACATGAGCGCATGCAAAAGTCTGTGGCCAGTCTCTCTGCCAAATTGGAGCTGGCTGTTAAGGTGTGTAGTGCAGACGTGTAATAAAAAAAATTCTACATTTATTTTTTTCTTTTATAGTTTGAGGTCGGTTTATTACATAGATTTAAGTCTTAATTTTTAATGTACTATGTTACTATGCATGGTTTTATTTTGTTTTTTACTATGGAGGGAAAACTACTAATTTTATTTACTTGCAGTGAAGGACAATAGCAGATTGTGTAGTTGGCTCCATAAGATAATGTCTATGTCTGCACTCGGTTATGTAAGCATTTAATTTAAATGCATTTATTGCAGGAGGTGCACCGTCTGCAGAACGAGGCTGATGAAGCCAACAAGCGTGCTTCTCTCCTGGAAAGGGACAACCAGAGGTCTGATCTTCAGCTGGGTGATTTAGCTCAGCAGGTGGGTTTATAGTCCATCTCTTACCATTATGGAAAAGGAAGAAACTATTAACAGGCATAGCTGGGTAGACAAGGAAATTATCCAGGTTGACCAGCAGACAAGCTCTTGACAGAATCTTGTTTGACAACATTTTTGGTTGTCAACAACCTTTACAACAAAGAAAGAAAAAAATCTAAAAAGTAATTTTATAAGTATTGCACTATATACAAAGCTTACTACCGATATTTACAATTTTTTTCCTGTGCAGTGCCCTTAGCGTTAATATTTTTTAATATAAGAACTAAAGCAGCACTTACAGCCTGTTTCACTGTGAGAGACACAAACAGACTGGCGATGTTTACTTTGAAGACCAGAAGTTTAGTTGTGCGTGCCAGGTGGACATGTCTGTATAACACAGAATACATTAACATGTTTTTGTTTATTCATCCATCCATTATCTTTTACCTGCTTCTTCCTTTTCTGGTCACGGGGTCACTGGTGCCCATGTCCAGCCATCACTGTGCGAGAGGCGGGGTACACCCTGGACATGTCGCAAGTCCATCACAGACACATAGAGACAAACGAGACAAACAACCATTCACTCATTCTCTGTTGTTTGTTTTTTTTGTACCTTTTGATTACAAAATATCTTCTGCAGTAGGTTGCTAAAATAGAACAAGTGCACAAACAAATAAAAAATTCAAGCTTCCATACAAACACCATATCTGTGTCTACAAATCATGAGTTCACCATTTGTCCAGTAATGATGTCCACAGCAACTAAAGATTAGATTATTTACTTTTACTGTAAATCAATAGACATTTAAATTATCCACCAAAACAAACACACACATGTAGCAATATTTAATCTGATAAGCAAATATTTTTAACCTAGTAAATGATGATTGATGGCTGAATCAATTAAAAGCCATATCTGAATGTCAACAACAAAATGTTTTTTTTTTTGTTATTACGTTTTTATATTTTTTGTACAAGCTGGCTTTGCAATACTGTAACTGCAAAAGTTTCTGCTATCAGTAAAAGAGTTTCTGAAAGCTGAGAATTTGCACTTTGTCAGTGCTTTGTCAGTAAATGTTTATTATGGCAACCTGACTCCTGCCGTTGTAGGAAGCCAGTGAAACGACCCCCGTACCCCTCCTCCCACACAGACATGACATGAATAGGTGAGCCCAGACAGCTCTTGTTAAATGTGGGACATTTGAGTGTCCCGCACCACCTCAAGGTGGGACAGGGTGGGCAAAATCTGGGACTGTCTCGCCCAAATCGGGATGGTTGAAAACATGTTTTTTCCCCTCTTTTTTATTTTTATAGATGACATATCTGTCGCGTGGATGGAGATCATTAATTTGTGTCTATTTTACTTGGTTGTTCACCAGACAACCTTGAAAACCTCGAGATCTGGTTGCTTCAAACTAAAATAAGTTGTCTCGGTCAAACGGAAATCGTTTATGTCATCCTCTGCTCGTGTGCTGTTTCTGCTAGGTTCGTGTGCTGCTGATCGAGCTGGAAGAAGCTCGTGGAAACCACGTGCTTCATGAAGAAGTGAGCTCAGTTGACGTCAGTAGCACATCAGATGTGATCAGCCAACACTTGGTGACCTTCCGCAGTTTGGAAGAGCTTCAGAAGCAAAACCAGCGTCTTCTGGTGGCTCTCAGGGAACTCGGTGATGCCCAAGAGAAAGAGGAGCTTGAGTCCACTGGCAATAGGTCTGTTCAAGTTGTGTATTCATAATTATTATTCTGATTACCCTCTCCACAAAGAAATATATTTTACAGCCAACACATTTATTATTTGACAATTACAGGACAAAAGTTCTAAAAATGATTTTTATTGTAAATTTTACGCACAATTCTGGCCGCTGGGCTTATCTCAATGTACTTTCTCAGGCGTATGGAACTGGAGCAGAGTTTGGAGAAAGCTCAGACTGAGCTGGAGTCTCTGAAGGAGCAACGCAACCAGCAGATAAAGATGACTGAGTCTATTGTGAGGCAGAGGGACATGTATCGTGTGCTGCTGGCTCAGGCAACTGGAGTTGCATTCCCTCAACAAGGTAACGCAGAAAAAAGTGAAATTAAGTGATGGGCATTTTTCCAATGCCCAAATATTAATTTAATGTTTTTTTTTTACATTTATATCTGAATGGTTGCTTCACCTTAAGGAACACCACCTGAGGAGTCATCTCTGACATCTACTCCTCGACGTTTATCAGCAACCACTCCCACCGCAGGGACACCGACGGCACTCGTCTCCATGGCTGCAGAGTCTGCTGAAGCTCTTGAGGCCAAAGCAGCTTTGCGACAGGTGACACAAATTTGCCAGTTCAAATTGTAGATGTTTCTGTTTAATACTTGCAGTCAAAACCTCAAAGTAATGACGATGTGACTGTGTTGTGTTAGTTTGCATCCACCCAGTAAAGTGATCTAATATACCATACCAATTTATTTATATAGCACTTTGGTGTGCTTTGTCACTGTTTAAAGTGCTGTACAGGGACAAACAGAACAAGCACATAGCAACAGATTCCATAACAGGACACCAAAAAGTAGAAACCAACAGAAACAATAATGGATAACAACAACAACCGCAACATGACCAACACAGTGTGATGCACACAGACTCGGCACAGATCACACAGTGCAGAAAGCCAGGGAATAAAAGTGTGTTTTTAAGCGAGATTTAAAAACTGTGAGGGAGGGGACCTGTCTAACGAGCAGAGGTAACTCATTCCAAAGTCTTGGGCCTGCTACAGAGAAGGCCCTGTCACCTCTGCGCTTGAGGCGGGTTCCTGGGACTGTGAGGAGCAACTGGTCTGCTGATCTGAGAGAACGTGGTGGGACATATATATATATACAATATATACCTCAGGCATGTGTTAAAATAGTCTTAAATAGTATTTTAGCACTTCTTGTGCGTTACCAATCCAGTTATAGAACAACCCATCTAAATGACTAGTTTACGTTGTTGCTCATTTTACCACCAGATATCATTGTACTTCGCTAAAAGTAGATTTTCAATCAGATACACTTTTGTGTCATGAAGAATATTTAACCAATTTCTTGTGAAATCATCTAGTTAAAAATAATTTCACTGTGAAAGGGACGAAAAAAAAATCCACCAAAACACAATTAATTTGGGGAAGTAGTTTTATGAAATAGTCTTCTAGTTCAGAGCACAGGGGAAAAAATCTCTGAAAGTTTAGGCCACTGGAAAATAATGTTTCACTTTTACCAGTCTCCTGTTATTGCAGTGTTTCCCCTACCATTATACAAGTGGGTCGCCCCTTCAACAGAACCGAGCGCCCCGTCTACCGAACCCCCCCACCCCAAACCACCTGTCGGCACTGACGTAACGTTAAACTAGCAGCTGGCAATGCAGGTGTGCTAGCTAAAAAGCTAAAGGCAGCCTCTTCCCTCATGCTGAACCCTCACGCTGAACGCACCCCCACCACTTGAAAACTGTAGGTACAAACAGCGCATGGCTCAGATGTGTGTCTGTCTCCACCCCCCCAAAACAAACAAAACAACAACAAAACAAAACTGTCGGTTCAGACAGCGCGCGGCTGAGATATGTCTCTGTCTCTCTCCTCACACGCCCTGCTCTAAAACTGTAAAACTGTTGGTGCAAACAGCACGGCTGTCTCTGTGTCCCCCAAGCCCGTCTAAAACTGTTAGTTTAAACAGCGCGCTGCTTAGCTTAGGACGTGTCTCCGTCCGTCCCCCCCCCCCCCCGACAAAATTCACGGACGAGATGAACGCCCACCATTGCAAGGATCAAAGTAAAGCATATCAAATATTGTTTTTTGTCCTCACAAATATTACTCAAACAGGAGAAACATAAGTGATAAGAAAGTACATAAAAATGTCTGATTTCATGTGTAGTTGCAGGAAGTGTTCTCCACATATAAGAGCGAGCGTTCGGAGAGTGAAAAGGCAATGACCAAACAAAACGAGAAGCTCCAGGAGCAGCTGTCTGATCTCCACTCACAGAATGCCAAGATATCCACCCAGCTAGAATTTGCCTCAAAGAGGTAAATTTGTGAATAACAAAAACTTACTGTACTTTTAATGTCAAGTGATGTTATATTTAATGTTCAACACTTGGTAGTTGGTTTATAGAAGTATTTTGGCCCTCCTAAAGCTGGCTTCTGTACTTGCATGTACAGGTATGAGATGCTGCAGGACAATGTCGAGGGATACAGGAAGGAGATTGCCTCACTTAGAGATAAAGAACAGAAGATGTCTGCTGCCACGCAGAAACTGGAGCAGACTGTTCTTACTCTGAATGAGGAACTTAAAGCTGCCAAGGAGAAACTCACCCTGACTGAGGTTGGTTAGCCTTAGATCATTCATTGCTATGCTTCTGAGTGCTTAACACCTACTAGGGTGAATTGCACTAGTGTTAGATATTTAAATACCAGTGCCTGAAAAAATACTAACACTATTTCACTTTACTTTTTAGGGTGTTGCTGAGAAACTTTGCAAGGAGAGAGACATGCTGAAGCTGATTGAATCCAGACTGAACCAGGAGAAGGAGACAGTCCTGAGTCAACAGCAGAGCCAGAACGTGCTGCTGACCAATCTCCAGTCTATTCAGGTAATGTAAGAGTGACTTTTGGACCACAGGCACACTTCCAAACAAAGCTCAAAATGTTAACTTCTTTTGTTGTTCAGTCCACTCTTGAGCGTTCAGAGAATGAAATACGTCAGCGTCTCAACAGCCAGCTAGAAAAGCAGGAACAGCAGATTTCCCAGCTACAGAAGAGGCTTGAACAGGAAGTGGAACAGCGCCACCTGTTCAGCAGGAACCAGGAAGTGAGTGTCATATTGAAATGTATTAATTTTTGATGGATTAATAGTTTTTTTGTTTTTTTTAAGAGACTGGTCTTAAAGCAGTCTCGTTTTGGTAAAAAGTTGACAGAAATGGATCTGAAATGGCACGACCCTGTAGAAGGATTTACAAATATAACATTAACTGTATTTTCTTATTTTGCACAGATCCAGTTAATGGAAGTAAAGAGGCAGTTAGAGACACAAGTTGCATTAAATCAGAAAACCAAAGACCAACTTAATGCTGCTGAGTTAGAGCTCAACACCTTCAAGATGCAGCAGGGCAGCAATGAACCGCGTCACGCCCTGGGCTCCCCATCTACACCCATCATCAGAGGTTGGCCTAAATAGATAAATTAATTTAGCTTGTATTGTCTAGTCAGTGGTTGTCTTGAGGTTCTTTAATTGTGTGAGGAATTCACGCATGGGTGTTTAGTTTGGCTTAAATGCAGTGGTCTCCATTTTTTATGTGAAATTAGGTTTGGTCAAATGGCTCAATAAAATGTGTAAACCATGCTTTTTCAAAGGACTTTTACAATGAAATGGTGTGTTCATTAGTCCAGACTGCATGTTTCCATTTAAAATCACAAATGTTAAACCCTGTTACAGGTCTGCGGGGTTCAGATCAAGACAGAGAGGAGCTCCAAGGCCGCCTGCAGCTGGCTGAAACCCGGGCAGAGGAGCTGGCAGAGAGCCTTAAGGCCATGACCTTTAGCATGGAGCAGTACAGAGCCATGGCTCAAAGCCTGGAGGAGTCGCTGGAGACAGAAAAACAGGTCAGGAAACCGCTTGAACACAACCCACAAACTCTTTATGGGTCCCTCGGATCATAAACATTTATCAACAAATAAAACAATTGAACGTGGAAAAAAACTGTTAAGTGATTTTATGGTTGGTATAAACACAAATAAAATTGTTAGACTGGGAAAAAAGGTTTTTAGCATATTTTTGTTAGTTGTTGTTAAACGAGATGTATGAATTTTTAACATACATTTTAATTATATACCAAAACACAGATGTAGTATAAAACACTAAAAGTCAAGTAGGAGATAAATTAAAAATTATGTTTTAGGTATTTCATGAAAGTAATTGATATAAGGAATTTTAATCACGCATCCAGTTATTTAAAACATGGAGTGTTAATAAAGTATCTAAACAGTAAAAGGCATATTTTTATCATTTTCAGTTTTGTTTTTAAAACTATTGTTGATCAGATACTTGAGTTGGAGACTAAGTTTAAATTTATATTTTTAAATGACCAGGTAACCGTGCAAGCCTGCTCATCCATGGAAACTCGTATGAAGGAAGCTGGAGAGAAGCATCGCAGGCTGGAGGAGAAGATCCTGGAAACGGAGAAAGAAAAACAAAACCTTGAGGAGGAGAAGAAGAGAGCTGTGACCTCTCTGGAGGAGCAGGTATCAAGTCATGCTTTATGGGCCTGCAATTTTTGATAAAATTCACCAAGAAATGTGAACTGTTTGACATCGATTCCCATTATTTATTTAATAAAATTTGTTCGGTGTCTGTCAGATTAACGTCCTGAAGAGAAATGTCAGCAGTGCCAATGCAGATCACCAGATGGCGCTGCAGCAGCTGGCTGTAGCTGAAACTCAGAAGCAACAGGCTTTAGAAGACAGCCAAGAACAGGTATGCAGATAAAGTAAAACCTAAGAGAATTGTATTATTATTATTATTATTATTATTAGTATTATTATTATTATTTGGCATAGCACATACAGTGGGCACTTCCCCCCCCAAATCCTAAATTTTTGTTTGTTTGTTTTTTGTTGTTTATTTTCAAAAGGCATAACTGAATCATTTTATGTGGCTGCAATATTTCTGTTTTAAAAAAAATGGACACAATGGACAGTTTTGCTTTTAAAAATTTCTTTGCTGATCAGATACTTAAAGTGGAGACCAAATGTATATTTATATTTGTAAATGACCAGGTAGGTGCAGGCCCGCTCATTATTTGATGGCATGATGTACAAATCTTGTTTCGTATTTCCAAGGCTAAGCTGGCAGCTGAGGCCCAGGATAAATATGAGCGAGAGATGATTCTGCACGCAGCTGATGTGGAGGCTCTGCAGGATGCCAAGGCTCGGGCTCTACAGGCTGTCGAGTTCAGACATCAGCTGGAGGAGAAAGTCCAGCGGGTCACCGCTGAGCTCCTGGAAGCCAGAGTCTCCTGGGAAGAACAGGAAAAGATCCTCAAGGTTGGTTTTATATGTTGTATTTTTATAATTAGACATTACAAAAGGCATTTTCACAATGAGTTATAAAGTCATAGCAAGCTTAAACAAATACATTTTTTAAAGCTTTAAACTTAATTGGATTTTTTTTTACATTTAATTAATTTCCATTAAAACAAATTTTCTCATTGCTTTATCTTTATGTTACAGGAGGAGATGGCAAAGATGGAAAGCCGCCATGAAGAGTTACAGAGACAGAACTCACTCCTGCATGAACAGGTTCAGACAATGAGCAGCAAACTGGCTGACACTCTGCAGCGGGCTTCCAGTGAGAGTTCACTGAACGTGTCTTTGACTGAAGAGGGAAAATCCGAAGACCAGCTTCTTGAGATTCTCAGGTAACTTCATTAACCTCTGCTTTATTTACCCAATTACCCATATCAGTAACAAATTTTAAACAAAACAGATGAAGTTTGAAACTACAACTTTTCTGTTGATAAAAGCTTTTGTCTAGGCCTGTCTTTTTATTTTTTATATATATAATTTTTGATTTCTGTCTTCCATCATAGGTTTGTTCGTCGGGAAAAGGAGATTGCAGAATCTCGTTTTGAGGTGGCCCAAGGAGAAGGTTTACGTCACCGTTTGAGAGTGGAGCACTTAGAGCAAGAGCTCAAAGAGGTGCAGGACAGTTTGGCTGCTGCAAGGGAGCGAATGCAGGTTTGTTTTATTTGTTAATCTAAAGTTAACACAGTTAATAAAGGCGTGTTTGACTTTTTGGTCTTGTGTAAAACACATTTATTTAAGCAGAAAACATTTTATTCATTAATAAATACACAAAATAAGTGGACAAAATCTAGTCTAACCTGCTAGCAATTTGTAATCCTAAAATATATGGCAAGCGATATAACTGTATACATCTCAGGTGACTGCAAAGACCCTGGCTCAGCATGATGAACTAATGAAAAAGACTGAAACCATGAACATCTTAGTGGAGACCAACAAGATGCTGAGAGAAGAGAAAGAGAAAATTGCACAGGAGCTGCAGCAAAGTCAAGCTAAGGTTTCTGGCTCATTTTATAGAATATGTTGTAGTTTTTCCAGTTTGTTTAATTTTTTATGATAAATTTTGTCTTTAATTTTCCGTTACTCAACTAAGGGCGTTTACTTGTTTGTTTCAGGTGCAAAAGCTTGAGTCGGACATTTTGCCACTTAAGGAGGCTAACTTTGAGCTGAGTGAGAGAAGTGGCATGATGCAGGCCGAGAAGACTATACTGGAAGAGGAAGTGAAGCGCTGGAAGGCTCGAACGCAGGTCAGTTTAGAGACTAGAAGTTAAACTATAAATGTTTTTGTCTGTAAAACAAAAATCTGAATCCTTTCTCTAATAATTACGGTAATGCACGGACATGTTTTCTTTATGCTCTAACAGCATTTGGTGAGTCAGCAAAAGGATTCAGATCCTGATGAGTTCAAGCGTCTGTTATCTGAGAAAGAGGTACATCTCAAACGCATCCAGCAGCTCATTGAGGAGAACACTAAACTTAATGTGGAGTTGACCAGGTGAGAGATTACAGTTCTTTATGGCGTTTGATTGAATCATTAAAATTTGTTCTTGCTTGCAGTTTTGTTGAAGGTTTTGTTTCTCTTTAGGACAAAAACCAGCACAGCATCCTTGCAGGGCCAATTGCAGAATGCACGTGACAGTTTGAGTAAGATTAATGAGGAGAGGATGATGATTAAGAAGGAACTGGAAACTAAGAACCAAGAACTCCAAGAGAAGTTGCGAACTATCAACCAGGTTAAGAAGATTGGACGACGCTACAAGACTCAGTATGATGAGCTTAAAGTGAAACATGACACGGTAATGGTTTTCCTGTTGGCTTTAATTTAAGCCTTCTAATAAAAATGTGAACTTCTATTGCACATTTCGTTCCAACATGAAGGAAATTTTTTATTTTGTACATCATTCAGCTGGTGGCAGAGACGGCAGCAGGTCCATCCCAAGACGAGGAGGCACGTCAAGCTTCGGTTCAAGAACTGCAGAGTGTTAAAGATTCTCTGAGTCAGGCTGAAACCAAGAACAAAGAACTGGAAGGACAGCTTGAGAACATCAACAAGGTGAAAAGTCACAGTAGTGGGCTATGCATTTTATGATTTATTTCCCAGCAGTGAAATTCTGTTTGTGTTATCAGGTCAGTTTGATAGCTTTAGAAGTGTGTTTGGAACTGCTCAGAATGTAGACAATGCAATGTGTTTTCTGCAGGTGGTCATGGAGAGAGAGGCTGAAGCACGCAATACTCAGGAACAGTCTTCCAGGTTACAAACGGAGCTGACGAGGTTGAGGCAGGAGCTGCAGGATAAGGCATCTCAGGAGGGCACTCTGAAACAACAGATGGCTGAGAAGGAGGAGAAGACCAGGAAGGCTCTTCTTAATGCCAAGCAGAAAATCAGCCTCCTCACAGGTGAGAGGATTTTCTCTTATTGCAATATATTACAACCCATTAAGACTAAAGGAGCTGTCAAATGTCTTGTTTAAGCACTTTGGTAGCAGTTCCTGTTTTAATTGTACTATACAAATAATTTTGACTTTCTCCGTAAAAACATAAATTAATGAATCCCCTCTTTATATTGCTGGTATAGTGTAGCTTGCATATTTATTGGAATCTCAACCCTGATTTATTTATGTCCAGGCTCCAAAGACCAGCTGCAGAGGGAAAATGAAGAACTGAAGCAGCAGCGGGATGAACTGGAGATGCGAATGGGTGCTCTCAAGTCTCAATATGAGAGCCTTCTTAGTAAACAAGAGCGAGGGCTCAGAGACCTACGAGCTCAACAGGAGAGACAGGATCAGAGAGATGAGACACCTGAGGCAGGTCCTAGCAAGGTGAGCAACTTCTACAAAGTTTGCGTGAGCCATTTTAATTTCTCTCATATTCACATGAAATAAAGTGCAAAAACAAAATGGTTTACTTATGTATATTTGTACAGACAGTGAGTGCTTTTAAATTGAATAAGTTGTTCTTTAAATAAGAAAAAGGTGGCACAAATGGTAAAATTTTTTGTTAGTTTTGTTTTGGTGGAGAAATGTTGGCAACTTATTCATAATTTTGACAAACTTATTTGCAGTTTAAACTGTTCAGGTGTCTTTAAGCGTGTTGCAGGTTTTGTGAAGTCCATGTCTTGACTTGACCATCACAAATCTCTGTCCCTGTTTTAGATCCAAGAGCAGCAGAGGGGCACAGAACAGAGACAGATCAGTTTGAAGACGACCTCTGCTGCAGACAGGGGCAGGTACGGTTTAATAAAACTGAAGACTTTTTAGTATAAATTGTGATAATATTGTTGTGCAATGTGATATTGATGTAAACTAGAGGTAACCTGAATTTATGAAGCAACTGGGTATCAATCAAATATTACCACTACATTTGTATATGTTTAATATGATAGATTAGTATTGGTGTTTGAATATACGTGAACTTTTAATCCCTGCTGTTTTTACTTCAGCCTTTGCAGTTGTGTTCAGTGTAAACTAATTATGCTACATGGCTAATAAGCATGCTTATATAGATGTTTATCTTTTGCTAAAATATTAATTAAAAAGTAATTTTAAAAAGCAAAAACAAAAGTTGTTTACTACATTTCAGAGTTAAGTTATCAAGTTTATGCATGCAATTGATTTTAGAAATATTTATGCCTTTATAGAGTTTATTTTTCAGCTTTGAAGAAATACACAGAGTCTACGGTAGCTCAGTCACAATACTGGCAGCAAGTTCTTAAATGACTATGATTGACATTTTAGACTAATCATCTTGACTGACACGTTTTGGTGTCATATGTTATCTCTTGCGATGTCTTTGAAATTTACTTGAGTCCAGTAAAAAATAAAAAATAAATGAGCCTGTTCATTCTTATTGACAGTGCCTGCACTTCTGAGCCTCCAACCGCCAACATTAAGCCAACACCCGTAGTCGCTACATCGAGCAAACAGCCCAACAACCCGGCTAACAAACCCACTCCACGAGCAAGCATCAGGCCCATGATCACCCCAGCTCCTGTGCCCACGCCAACACCAACTGCCACCGTCATGCCGACGACACAGGTGGAGACACAAGAGGGTACGTGTACTTTAGACTTTTACCGTCCTTCAGACTAGAGAGCTAGTTAAAGTTATTGCTAAAAGACATAAGTTTCAGAAATACCATAAACGTTTTCCGCTAATTTAATTCTTCAACAGCCATGCAGTCAACTGAGGGCCCACCGGTGGAGCATGTGACCGTGTACGGCAGCGCCAGCGGCTCTGTGCGCTCTGCCAGCCCTAATGTCCAGACCACTTTAGCTAGCTCCATGCTGACCGTTCAGCAGATACAGACGCAGGCTACGGCTTTTGTTCAGCCAACACAGCAGCAGAGCATGACCCACCCAGAACCAGCCAATCAGGAGCCACCACCTGTAGTGATTGAAGCAACACCCAGTTCTCAGGTGGAGTGGCCTTCAACGTTCTCCACCTCGTCTGTGTTTGGCACTGGTGAGAAATTCCCTTTTTAAAATCTGAGATTATTGTGAGTTGTGTATATAATATGATGGCTTTTTATACTACAAGAGAAAATTGTTTTTAAGAAATGTGGTATTTATAAAGGACAAGAAACTTAGTGGATCAAAAATAAAAAGTATTTTTAGAATTTTACATCCATTAGATTGATGAATGAGGATCTGGTTTAAAATTCTGGAAATGTAAGTGTTGTGTTGAGGATGCTACAGATTAAAAAGTAGATTCTGAAATCACTACTCACACTGCTTGTTTTGTTTGTTTACTTGGGCTGTATATTTATTCAATATAAATATATATAAATATATATATATATAAAGGTTTACCATTACCTAATTCTAGTTTCAGCGACACCTGGAACCTCTGCTTTGTCCAAGAGGCCTCGTGAAGAGGAGGAAAGCAGCACTGTAGTCACGGACACCGAAGCATCTCAGGAAGACACTTCCAGGGCACCCATACCCAAAAAGCTGCGCATCATCCAGAGAGTGGGTCCAGAGGTAAGGAGGAGAGAGGAAGTAACATTGAAAACTAACCACAAATTAATGTTTAGTATGTGTTATTAAAACTGTTGGAAAGCTTGATAATCATATGGTCTCTTTAGGAGGAGATGCTGGCTGAGGAGAGTGCTGAGGCTGGGGGTGTGGTGCCAACGGATAATCAAGATGGTGCTGAAGTGAGCCAGGTCAGTCATACACTAACATAAGTACATTTCTCTGTTGTTATTTTTTTTTAAGAAACTTGTTCAAAAAGTTATGTTATTACTGTGAAAACTCTATTCCTATGCATTTATTTTTATTATCTTAAAATAAAGTATTTTAGCCTATTCAAAAAAACGAATGTAAAAAAATTCCCCTTGTAATTACTACCGTACTTGCCGTTGTACACGTCGCACCGCCGTATAAGTCACATCAGTCCAAAAATGTCTAATAAAGTGAAAAAAAAACGAATAAGTCGCTTCGCTGTCTAAGTCGCATCTATTATGCGTCACCGATGATGTGTCGCGTTTGTTATGCTCAGTGATGGCATAGTTGCATTGAAAAAGTAACTTAGTTACTGTAAGTTACTGATTAGTCCTTGAAAAAAGTAACGTAGTTAAGTTACTGATTATTTGATTTGGAAAGTAACTAAGTTAGATTACAAGTTACTTTATTAGTTACTTTCAGCAGCTGCTAACAACAACCCTCCGCCACCTCAATATAAAAATTACATTGAGTATGTCATTACTTACTTTATTGAAAGTGCATTTTAATGGTAACATCAACAATGTATCTCCAGACATATAAAGTTGAACTTAAAAACTATTTCAGGAAAAAAAATACATATTAAAAAATAAACGGTCTTTCTGGACTTGATTAAACATAAATACTTGTTTTAATAAAACAATTAAATAGTCTGACTTCATTAAATGTAAATACTTTTTATTAAAAAAAATAAAGTAGTATTTCTTGACTTCAGTATCATAAAGAAATACTTGCTTTATATAAAACAGTGTCTTTCTTGACTTCATTAACCAAATACTATTTTTTACAAAAAAAAAACTTTTTTTGTCACTCCCCGAGACGCACAGAGGAGATATTTGTTTGCTTGACATTATAGTAAAGATGTGTCTCCGTTGAACTTTTCCTTAATAAATGCACTATATTGCTCAAATCAGCTGCATTTCGCCTGGGTGGCACGGCGAAATGCAGCTGATTGGACGCTTGCTCCAGGAGTTCCAGAGCGAGATGAAAGTGGCTTGTATGGCAAGCCAAGTGTCTCATTAATAGCCACTTTTACCTATTAATGAGACACTTGGCTTGCCATATTGCTCAAGTGCCCTCTAGTGGCTGCAAATGGTAGTGTTCAATATTTCTATGTCAGAATGAATGAAATCGTCGGATCTCAGCCAAAAATTATAAATATGGGGGAAATGTATATTAGTCGCTTCGGTGTATAAGTTGCAGGACTTGCAAATTCATGCAGAAAGGTGTGACTTATACGGCAAAAAATGCAGTACTTAAGAGGAAAGAGGAGTTGGTTTTACTTTTGGAGGGTTTTTTTTTTTTTTTTTTTTGGCTTAATGGTAAAAAAAATTTATCATCTTCACTATGCTTTAACATAAGTTTTGATATAGAGATGGAGAGTTTGGTGCTACAACTGTCCGTTACCCATGTGTTTGATGTGCATGCTGTACGTTTGCTCGATGTTTTGCTCTGCAGACAGAAGAGTTTTCAAACCTGGAGGAATCAGAAGAAGCCGCAGCCTCTCTGTCTATCTCAGTGGAAATTGGAGTTACACCAACTCAAAGTGAAACACCTGACCCACTGCAGCATGAAGTTATTGTCATACTGACTGACAGTGAGAGTGAAGACGAAGAAGAGGAGGAGGAAGAGGAAGAAGATCAGGTAGAGAGTTTGCATTAATCATTTTTTAAGTATTTTTAAAATGCCCTGGATACCTGTCATTGGTATTTTGACACTATGCTTATCATAGGAATATGCAGAGGAGGAGGAAGAGGAAGATGAAGAAGAGGAGGAGGAGGAGGAAGATGAAGATGAGGAGGAAGATGATGGGGATATGGGGGAGGAAGGCGAAGACAGTAATGAGGAGAGTGGAGAAGGCAACGAGGCTTATGAAGCAGACGACGCAGAGGTTAGATCAGACGGTTACTTCATTCACACAGCTTCATTTTCAACACTTTAAATCTCCCTCACACTCACTTGTTCCACACTGTCACTTCTGTTTGACCCGTCTGTCATAATTTACTGTCTGCATGTAGCTTCTGCTCATGTTTACTTTAGTCATTTACCTTTTACTCCTTGCATATGTTAAACCTGAGTCAGTCTCTTTAAAAAGTGACATTTAATAGTTTTTGGCTGTAGTCTGCTAGTGTTGAGGTTAATGTCCAGATTGAGGCATCAATAAACCTCTTATAAACAAATGACGATGGCCAAAACGACTCGCATGATGGCGGGCTGGATCAGCAGCTCGTGTGACCTCTGCGGGCCAATCATCGTGATTTTTATAATCACTTTTGGCAACAATCAGGATTAAAGAAGCCTTTTGGATGAGAGGTGAGACGTCTTAAATAAACAACAGAAGTTGTCCAGATGCCGTCAATCTAACTGCTTAGGATTGTCATAGCTTGGATGACTGAGAAGCTACACTAGCAATTCAGTATAAGAACCAAAGTGTAATAACGAAGCAAAATGTAATTTAGGTTTTGGATAAAGTCAGAGGTTTGGTGTTCTATGGATCTGGTCAGTGATTTTTACCCAGAAAATCAGGGGTTTGTTTTTTTCTAAAGGGTGTCTTTGTTCATTGATGGGATAAAATGAATCAATCTCTGCGTTCTCTGCCAGTATGTTCTGGTAACTCTGACAAGTTCATCAAATTTATTTTCCTTTTCCAGTCATTTTTCTTTCTTTAATAATTTTCTTTCTACTTCCCATTCCCAGGGAGCTGATGTAACAGACCCGGGCACTGAGACAGAGGAGAGTTTAGGGGCGTCTGACTCCACCCAGAGGCCTGCAGATTCCCAGACACCCAGCTGTAAGATCCAGGAAACCGTGTTGAAAACTTGTACTCTGTTGATCCACCTCAGACTCTGCATACATTCACAAACTGTCGTTCCATTGCAGTAATTGTCTGAACTATCCTAATGACTGGAAAATATGTAAAATGTTGTCTGACGGAAAGAACCGGTCAAAACAAGCCATTTTTAACTATTAATATAACAAATGTTTCAAGTTTTATTATATCCAGAGTCAAATGACTTTGCAACGCTGTCTTATCTTACTTATTTTCTTTTAAAAATAATGCAAATGCTTCTTTTTTTTTTATAACACTGTGACAGAACTTACTTTTATTTTACATTTGTATTTTCTTTTAAACATGCTTTTGCTGATTGAAATTATATTTACTTTGCTGTTTTTTAATCTGCAGTTTAAATTTGGCCCTTTTAATTCGAATCAGTTGTATCTTTATATATCCAAACATTTCATTATCATTTTAGTTGAAGGGAGTACAATGGAGGCCTTCTTGGCAGAACAACCGATCACAAGCTCTGGTACCCGAATGCCCCAGTCACCACGGAGACCTATTCATCAGCTGCCGCCCCGACTGAACATCCACTCCGCTCCCACATCAGAACTGGGTCCTCCTGCGCAGGTTCATGTATGTCAATACTTTTATTTTTATTTTTTTGTCAGTTCACCTGTCATTCATTTGTTTGACTTTCGAATGACCACTCTTTTTTTCTTCTTCTTTTCTAGCGTATCCCTGTTCGGCGCCAATCAGTGGGCAGACTCACGCCTGGAGTTTCGAGCAGTGCTGTACGTCATTTTAACGACACGATTTTAGGGTAATTGTGTTTTTTTTATGTAATTGAGACTGTTAGTTTTTCTGTCCTGTTTCTCTGCAGCAACACTTCTTTGAAGATGATGACAGGATGGTTCCCAGCACTCCCACTCTGGTACCTCCTCGTTCTGATGGTTTTGATCAGGCCGTTCAGTAAGTCTCCTGGGTAATGACGTTTAGATAAAAAAAATAATAAGATCTGGGTGGAAAAAAAATAATAATAATATGTGTATATATATATATATATATATATATATATATATATGTTGAAACAATACTGATAATGCTTCAAAACTTCATGCTTCATCTGCTCCCTAAAACAGGTCTCTCCTGAAAATGAGTTCTCATGGCTCAATGAGACTACCTGGATAAATAAAGGGTAAATTAAAAAAAACAAAAAAAAACAGAAAAGTTGTAAAATGCCAATCTCCTACATTTTATTTAATAGTTTATTGGTTTATTGTGCTGTAAGTTTGACTGAACACAAAAGTAAATTCTACTTTTTACATTTTACACTACGGTCGTCCCTCGTTATATCACTGTTCACTTATTGCGTCTTCACTGTATCGTAGTTTAAAAAAAATAATCTAATTATGTATTGCGGAGTTTTTGCAATATAACCAGATTTTGTGGTATATACTGTACGCCACTACTACTTGTGCAAGTGGAGGAAGAAGCCACCTCTCATCTCGGCCTTGTGCGTGCACTCTTGCTACGTTGCGTGCACGGCCGCATCACACCACTCTCGGCGTCTGCTTGTGCACTTCAGCGATCAGTCTCAAGGACTTCCTATGTCTGCTCAGCACCTGTCACAGTGGCTGTGTGAGGCTGTTTCACAGGCATACATTTCCTCTGAATCTCATCCTCCACTGTTCTGCACAGAGGAGTGTCAGTGCAGGACGTCTGTACAGCAGCTTCCTGGGCTTCTCCGTGCTCATTCTTTTGGTTTTATATGTGTGATGTCTCCAGCTTGATTCACTCTGTCCTCAGAGTTTTGTCAGAGTGGTCATGCAAATGTTTTAGTGAGCTCTCCATCCTGCCTGTTCTCACAGCAGCAGGGTTTGACATTTCAGCTTTTGAAGGCTCAGTATGAATTGTTTCAAAGACTAAGCAGATATCTGTGTGATTGGTACTGAACGAACCCAGTGAGGCGTAGACTACATCCTGCTTCGCCTTTAACCTACTAGTGACGGTCTCAAAGGACGAAGCCTATACGAAATAGAACATTTATTATGTATTGTAACCCCAGATTCTATGAGTATCAGCGCAGTCCTTTAAGATCTGGGTCTCACTGGCTCCTAAATGGCTGAAGAAAATGCTATTTGGGAGTCTGTTCCCAGGCTCAGTGCAGTTTATACAGACTGGGGTGGGGCCCACACAGCAGGTGAACATGGACTTCAATGCTGTGCATAAAGTGTAAACCTAAGAGTGGGAAAGTTATGTAGGAGTGTGGAAAGGGTTTATAAAGCCTTAAAACGTATGTAAATAATAAAATAACTATAACGCTGCTACTTGGTAGATTTTCATCAATCGCGGGGTCTCTGGAACGTAGCCCCCGCGATAGGTGAGGATCACTGTATTTGTTTTAGTGTAGCACTTAAATTAGCACTTATTCATTAGTATTTTGTATTGGGGGTTAGTGACAGAATTATAATGTTACATGACTCATTTTGTCTTTATTATTTTTTAGTTCCCCCCAGGTTGCAGGTGTGTCTCGCTTCAGGTTTGGCCCTTCAGAAGACCTTCCACAGACCAGCTCGTCCTCTCATTCTGACCTGGGACAGCTCGCTTCCCAAGGAGGTCAGTCATCACTTGTTTACAAATGCAGAACATGGCATTTAGAAGTTTTATACACAAAAAAAAATCATACATAAGAATAAACCTTTTAAGACTTTGGTAAAGACTTGAATAAATAAGCCTGAGGTTTTTTCCTTGTTTAGGTCTTGGTATGTATGAAAGTCCTCTGTTCCTTCCAACCCACGAGGAAGAGTCTGGTGGACGCAGCGTTCCAACCACTCCACTACAAGTTGCACCCCCAGGTATCGGTTTCTGTCAGTCTGTTATGAATTCCATCTGTCTTTACTCCCACACTTTTAATCAACAGTTTTGTAAAATGAAAAATATATTTTTATCAGTTTGTACAAACAGCAGCGTTTCTTTTTTTTCCACATTATCTTGTAGTAACTTTGCTCTCAGAGGCTGCACAGTCCGACACATCGGAGCTCGCCTCCCAGTCGGTTCCCATGGTGAGCACGTCCACACCAGGCCTAGTTGTACCAGGAACAGCCAGCTCAGGAGAGGAGAGAGACCTCTTCCTGGAACCAGACACTGACAGGTGATTATTCCTGCACCCCCCCCACACACCTCCCCCTCAATAATTAAATTCAGACTTCTGCAAAACTTAGTCTACAGTATTTCCTGCAAACTAATGTTGCATCCTTTTTAACTATTTCTTTCCACTGTTATTCTTTGAATCGCGTCTTATTCTAACAGCTGGAAACTTTTTGAGTTTAAAAGGTGATTTTTATTGAGGTTTGTTGGGTAATATTAGATTTTATAAATGCGTGTTGATTTCTTTGCTTCAGGCCCAGTGCTGAAGTACCAGTGGATCCTGTGGTGTCACAGGGAGACACTGAGGAGCCAAGTCAACCATCTGACAAGGCCAGCCTTCCCTCCACCAGCCAGGAGCCGTCTTCTAGTTCTGCTGGTATTTTTTCTTCCTAAAGCTCTGGCCTCTTTCTGGCTGTGATGGTAAATATGACTTCTCTCCTGTTGAATTTGATTGTTTTGTCATATTTTTTTAGATACAAGCAGCGCTCCAGTTAGACACACTCGACCTGGACCCAGCAGACAGCTGCAGCGCTGGCCAGACAACCGTGGAGGACGCATGAAAAGAGGAGGTAACAGATTTAAAGGGATCTCTTCTCTTTACTGTTCAAAACAACTTCATGGAAAAACTTTTAAAGTAATTTCAGCGTTTAGATTAATTTATCTCTTCAAGAGCAAGCCGGAATAAAAGGGGTGGGGTTCGTATTTTTTTATGACTGATTATAATAAAAGGCTCTCCATAAATTAATTTACAGCACATGATTTTCACGGTTTGTCAAATGTACTAAAACAACAAAAAAAAATCACACATTTTATTGTAAACATGTTTTTATGTATTGTTTTGTATCAAATACAGTTAACTCATTATCTAATTCCTCAAAGAAAAAAAACACTAGAAAATGTTTAAAATTAAAAGAAGTTAATGTGTCCAGATTTTGACAAAGTAATTTATATTTAAATGAATACATCGACAGTCACAAAAAAACTCTTATTTGATCAAATGCTGACATTGTTATAAACCCAAACAAACAATTTTACAACAGTAATTTGATACATTTATACAACAAATATTAAATTTTACATCAGTGGCTTCCTTACTGATTATTTTAACCCCCACAGGTCACGCTTTTCCTTCCCGGGGTGTTCCTGGAAGAAGATTTCTGAGATGAAGGACTTGCCAACCAGAACCGACCAAAACCCGTCAAACACTTTAAACACATTTCAACAGATTTTCTCTTGTTCTGAAGCCTGGTTTTGAATCTTGGTCTTGTTTTTTTTTTTTTTTTTTTTTTACGTGTTCAGAGAGTCCTTTTTGTAATCCGTGCTGAAACTGTGTCTTAAGAAGAAAATAAACACAGGAACAGTGGTTTGGGAGGAAACAGTCGGTGCTTTTCTGTTAGGTTTTTTTCTGACATTTGAAGAAGGTGTTGGTCCGAGGGGGTGTGTTTGGTTCAGCCATGACGGGACGTTCACCTTTCATGATCACATTGTAGGATATTGCTGCAAAGAAATAAGAATTTTTAGTCGTGAGGTCCAATAAAAAGCTGAATAAATGAATTTATTTAGGATGTTTTTCATGCAGTTGAGTTTCAATTTAGTGAAAATAAATTTGAAAGAAATCAATCTGGGTTTGTTTTTCCATCGGTGTTTGTGGAAAATGCTGTTTAATGACTCATCTGCTTCAGTCTGAATTTAAAGAGCTGTAATGTTTTGTCAATGATGTAAACGACTAGACGGTAAAAACATCCTGACCACACTCGTGTACTGGTGGCTTTACTCAGAACTGTTTGTACAATTAAAAACGAAATGCTTTTTACTACACAGTGAAGACACTGCTTTTAATGATCTATACATCTGTGCAGCGCTCCACCCTGAACACACATGACATTCATTAAGCATCTCGCATGTTAACAACTCCGCAGACAGTGAAGTACATTTTTATGTTTTTTAAAGGGTAGCTTTGTAGTCTTAACATGACACTTAAGGGAAAACCACATTTGCTACTTAAACATCTTAAAATTTCACCTCAATGCAAGTTATGTTTTCATCCAAGAGTTTGAGGGTGGACAGTCCAAAATAAAGCAAACGTTAAATTAGATTTACCCTTTAGAGTTTTGGGTGTTTGAATTCCCAGGATGATCACTTTTTATTCTAATTTGCAAATTCAGACTATACCCAAGACATGTTCTGTACTGCCTGTGAAACAACCTCACACTGAGGTTCTTTGATACTTGTTCAAATATTGTAATTTAAATTAGCAGCCAGCAGTAATGTGTACATAGAGGCAGTATTAAGATAATTGATGATGTCAAACTTTTCGGCAACATAAATTACATAAGTTATAGTAAATAGTTTTATTATATTAGAAATGTGGTCAATTTTCAATCATTCAGTACTAACCTGAAGCTATAACTGCTGAATTGATGAGTTGAATATATATATATATTATTTTTAAATGGTTTGAATATTTGCAGAAGTGCAAAATTAAAGTCCTTAATGTTTTGACTTACATCTTGAGAAGACTGTGTATTTGTACCCCTCCCGATCTGTGGGGCTCGTTATGGACACGGCAGCTGTGATGATGTGGGGGAAGCCTCTCCAGGATTTACGGATGTTGATTTCTGGTGCTAAAACAGAAACTAGTGGGACACAAGTGAAGTGATGAGTTGCGTACAGAAATTCAACTGGGTGTTGGATAGAAGGAAAGGTCTTGGATGAGAAATTAAACTTGAGTAAAAAAAGAGAAGTTGCTGTAAATGCTTTTACTGTAAACTGAGCTCAAATGTGCCGTTTATCTCAGAGGTCTTTTAGACAGTTCTACAACTCGACACATCCATCCATCCATCCATTTTCTTTACCCGTTTATTCCATTTTGGGTCACGGGGGTCGCTGGTGCCCATGTCCAGCAATCACTGTGCGAGGGGCGGGGTACACCCTGGACGGGTCGCAAGTCCATCACAGGGCCACATAGAGACAAACGAGACAAACAAACATTCACTCTCTCACTCACACCTAGGGACAATTTAGAGTTACCAATCAGCCTAACATGCATGTTTTTTGGTCTGTGGGAGGAAACCGGAGTACCCGGAGAAAACCCACGCATGCACGGAGAGAACATGCAAACTCCACCCAGAAAGGCCCCTGGACCGGGGTTTGAACCAGGGACCTGCTCGCTGAGAGGCAGCAGCTCTACCAGTTGCGCCACCGTGCTGCCTCAACTCGACACAAAAGGGGTGAAATTTCCAAATTAGAGGTACGCCAAACAAGTAAGATCCTGACTTGAGGCTCTGAACAGACCAGATATGATTGTTTTCTAGAGAGGAGACTTCAGTTTCTCTCAAATGTCATTTATAAAATGACGCGTGCTGGTCATAAAATTAGAATTTCATGAAAAAGTTGATTTGTTTCAGCCATTCAAAAAGTGAAACTTGTATATTCATTCATTACACACAGACTAATAAATTTCAAATGTTTATTTCTTTTAATGTTGATTATAACTGACAACTAATAAAAACTCCAAATTCAGTATCTCAGAAAATTTAGAATATTACTTAAGACCAATTTTAAAAAAAAAGGATTTTAGAAATGTTGGCCAACTGAAAAGTGAACATTGAAAGTATGAGCATGTACAGCACTCAATACTGGGGCTCCTTTTGCCTGGATTACTGCAGCAATGTGGCATGGAGTCGATCAGTCTGTGTCACTGCTCAGGTGTTATGAGAGCCCAGGTTGCTCCTATAGTGGCCTTCAGCTCTTCTGAATTGTTGGGTCTGGTGTATCACATCTTCCTCTCCACAATACCCCACAGATTTTCTATGGGGTTATGGTCAGGCAAGTTTGCTGGCCAATTAAGAACAGGGATTCCATGTTCATTAAACCAGGTACTGGTAGCTTTGGCACTGTGTGCAGGTGCCAAGACCTGTTGTAAAACAAAATCTGCATCTTCATAAAGTTGGTCAGCAGCAGGAAGCGTGAAGTGCTCTCAAACTTCCTGGTAGACGGCTGTGTTGACTTTGAACCTCAAAAACAGTGGACCAACACCAGCAAATGACATAGCACCCCAAACAATCACTGGCTGTGGAAACTTTACACTGGACCTCAAGAAACATGGATTCTGTGCCTCTCCTCTCTTCCTCCAGACTCTGGGACCTTGATTTCCAAAGGAAATGCAAAATTTACTTTCATCAAAGAGCATAACTTTGGACCACTCAGCAGCAGTCCAGTCCTTTTTGTCTTATTTAGCCCAGAGTGGCTTGACACAAGGAATGCAACAGCTGAAACCCATGTCTTGCATACGTCTGTGTGTGGTGGTTACTGAAGCACTGACTCCAGCTGCAGTCCACTCTTTGTGAATCTCCCCCACATTTTGGAATGGGTTTTGTTTCACAATCCTCTCCAGGGTGTGGTTATCCCTATTGCTTGAACACTTTTTTCTACCACTTCTTTTCCTTCCCTTCTCTCTATTAACGTGCTTGGACACAGAGCTCTGTGAACAGCCAGCCTCTTTAGCAATGACCTTTTGTGTCTTGCCCTCCTTGTGCAAGGTGTCAGTGGTTGTCTTTTGGACAACTGTCAAGTCAGCAGTCTTCCCCATGATTGTGTAGCCTACAGAACTAGACTGAGAGACCATTTAAGGTGTGATTAGGGTGTGGTTCCAGGTGTCTTAATATTGAACCTTTTCACAATAACCTAATTTTCTGAGATACTGAATTTGGGGTTTTCATTAGTTGTCAGTTATAATCCATCCATCCATCCATTTTCTTTACCCGCTTATTCCATTTTGGGTCACGGGGGTCGCTGGTGCCCATGTCCAGCAATCACTGTGCGAGGGGCGGGGTACACCCTGGACGGGTCGCAAGTCCATCACAGGGCCACATAGAGACAAACGAGACAAACAACCATTCACTCACACCTAGGGACAATTTAGAGTTACCAATCAGCCTAACATGCATGTTTTTGGACTGTGGGAGGAAACCGGAGTACCCGGAGAAAACCCATGCATGCACGGAGAGAACATGCAAACTCTACCCAGAAAGGCCCCTGGACCGGGGTTTGAACCAGGGACCTGCTCGCTGAGAGGCAGCAGCTCTACCAGTTGCGCCACCATGCTGCCCTCAGTTATAATCATCAACATTAAAAGAAATAAACATTTGAAATATATCAGTCTGTGTGTAAAGAATGGATATTATATACAAGTTTCACTTTTTGAATGGAATTACTGAAATAAATCAACTTTTTCATGATATTCTAATTTTATGAACAGCACACACACAATCATTTTAAAAATGACGATTGAGCAGAACTGAAGTCTTCTCTAGAAAACAATCACGTTTGTCAAAATTGTAATCATGCATGGTGCAATAAAAATAGGCCTCTTTGCCATAACTTGCCACTATGTAAAAAATTTTTATCTTGTTAGGTACACTTTTATAAAGGATTTATTCAACTTTCATTCCTGTCTTACCTGCTTGTCGAACCGTTCGGGCACGAATGGTGTAAATGGGATAGTGGACCGCACGGTCACATGTTGGACTGGTTCCAAACTGGTAGGAATATTTTTGAACAAATCCTCCTGTAAAATATTAAATTAACATTTTATAAAAGTCAAACCAAAGCAGAATGAAATACCTAAAAGAACAATATTTGTTTTTTGTAGTTTATTTGACTCATGTCATCACCTCTCTTGAAGAAGTAGACAGACTCTTTCCTGTTGTTGTACTGGGGAACTGACAGGGCGGCTGTGATGTGACCCCTCAGCCCATCAAAGCCTGTTTTAATGAGTTTTGGGTATCCATGATCCAGAGCATCATTTTCAAACCTCCAGTATTTGCCACCCTGTGAACATTATGCAGAGCAAACAAAAACATTAAGAAAAAATGCAAAACTTACAAGTGGTATTTTAGCCATATGAGTCACATTACCTTGAAAATGTAGGTTTTACCCTGACAGTTGCAGCGGGTGAACACGGTGTCAATAGGGGAAGGGACACCCCACACTTGTGTTATATCTTGGGGTGGACTTGGCACCCGGTTTCTGTCCAGAAACCAGAAGTAGTGGCCTGTGAAAAATTTAATCAGAATATAAGACTGGCCCAAATCAAACAAATATTGTTGATCATTTCATCTTAGTGTATTGAATCTCATATACAAAGGCACTTGGAGAACCAGGAGAACAGCAACCAGCAGAATAATTGGCAACATTTTTACCTCCTGAACCAAAGCTCTTAAATTAATTTCCATCCCAAAACTGGAATGTGATCTTTTTTTTCCACATCTGAGCAAATGGATTGTTTTCGTTTCGTGCTTGGAACTATAATGATTTTGCCTTCTTGTAGTACTTATTTCACTTGCTCAAACAAACTTTTAAAAATGTTCTGCTTTAGTCATTGTTAGTGATTTGTTCCAGCATTTTCCAGTAATAGTGCAAAGTACTATTTTTTTACTGTTGGTAAGTGTATTATTTCCAAATGTAGTGGTGTGTGTGGTGGTGGTGGTGGTGGTGATGGGGGGGGTGTCTTTTGGTTGTTTTTGGTGATTTGTCTTCGTTTCTAAAATACTACCTCTGAACACCACCATCGTTCCGTTCCTCAGTGTGGCGACTCCGCTCACCGGTCGCCCACTACACAGGTTTGTATCATCGTTGTCATCTGGAGAAAAACAAACATTTGTCATCAAACTGGTGCCTTTATTTACAGCATGAGGGGAAAACAGGTACCTTTTTTATAATGTGCTGCCCCCAGAAGAATAGTTCAAAACCAGTTAAGCAAATGAAATCAATAAATGTGCAACAGAAATTGAAATCATCCATTTTTAGTTTGTGAAATAACACATTGTGCTAAAATATCTCCCTCCTTTTTGAGGGCAATGTGCCACTGTTGTCCTCAAAAGATGAAAAATTGGTCTTACCTCCTTGGTAATCTCGGGGGTTATCTGTGTTCAAGGTCTGTGGGTCCACGGGTTTGGTGTCAGGTTTAGAGGTGGGGGGTAAGTTAGTTGGATCAGGTTTGCCCTGAGGCTTGGAGGTGGGTTCAGATGTAGCCGTTAGCGGATCAGCAGTAGTCGTCTCCGGTACAACTATATCTGTGGTTTCATTTTGCACTGGAAATGGGAATGTGGGAATTCCTGTTCCCGTTGGAGAGACGGTAGTGGCTGGATCTTCATCGTCTGCCAGTAAAGATGGAATGCTTGTTGTGGTGTTTCTGTAGTTGAGCTCTGAGTTGGTGTCCAAAGTGGTTTCCTCTGTGGTTGTTGCTGGTGAGGTGGTGACCTGAGAGGTTTCCAGAACTCTGTTTGAGTCCCGTGTGTTGACGGTTGTGAGTTCAGGCTCATCAGTAGGAGGAACGTCAGTTGTAGACTTTATAGTGCTGGAGGAAATTGTGGGTTTTGATGTTCCAGTGGGCTGATTGGAGTCTTCTGTTGGCTGAGGCAGAGTTGTTCCTTGGTCAGGAGGTCTTGTAGAATCTGAAGCATCTGAAGCAGCAGATTTTTTTTTCAGTAAACAAAGGCACGCACGCACTGGATGCAAAATTTGAAAGGCATTCAGAGAACAGGTTTTGATTTAAATGAAAATCTTAACTGCATATAGAAGACACCTACAACTCAGAAAAGCTGATTCCTGAACATGGCTCACCTGAGCTTACAGTCGTAGCTTCTCCAGCTGTGGAATTAGAGGAGAAACGGTTGTCATCGTCTGATGGAGTCGCCTCTGTGTGAGAAGAAACGCTCTCTGTAGTGAACTCTGGAACATCTGTAATCAGAGAGGCTTCAGTAGGTGCAGCATCCAGCAGGTCAGCTGTAGATGGTTCAAGACTTCTGCTGCTCTCCAAGGTTGGACTCATCTCCTGATCCTGCACTATAGTAGACATTGTAATCAGTTGGTAAGACCTGACAAATATCTACAAGAGAAAGGTTTGCACGGAAAGTTCTTTGCTGTTTTTTATTTTCTTCACTCACCATCACTGGGATCATCTGGTGGATTAGTTGATGTACCATCCAGAGGAGTTGGGTAGTCATCTGTAGATAAATGGGTAAATTCTCAATTAATGCACATGAAAAAAATATCTGCTCCCTCACAGATTTGTTCTGCTTTTGCTTTTTTGTCCCACTCATATGTTTCAAATCATCAAACAAATGTCAGTCAAGTAAAAGATAACTTGAGTTTGTGATAAGAGATGAATCTTTCACGTGGTAGTGGAGGGGTGTTGCTGAAGTGCTTCAGATTGTTGTCCTGCTGCAGAACCCAAGTGGGGTTGAACTTAAGGTGATGGATGTTCTTCAGGATTTTTTGGGTGGAGAGCACAAGTCATGGTTCCATCAATTACAGCAAGTTATCCAGGTCCAGAAGCAGCAAAGCAGCCCCAGACCATCACGTTACCACCACCATGCTTTACTTTTGGCAGAAGGTTATTTTTTGAAAATGTCTTCCTACAGACTATTTTTCTAAACTCTTGGGGATCATCAATATGTTTTGGTGAAACTAGCCTTTACTTTACTTTTGCTGAGGAGGTTTTGACCTTGGATCTCTCCCATGGAGGCCATTTTTGCTCATCATCTCTGTCTTATTTTTGAGTCATGAACTCTGACCGTAGCTGATGCCAGTGAGGCCTGCAGAGCTTTGGATGCTGTTCTGGGTTCTTTTGGGACCTCCTGGATGAGTTGATGAACTCTGGGAGTGATTTTTGTCAGTCAACCACTCCTGGCAAGGCTCACCATGTTTTCTCTATTTGTGAATAATGGACCTGCTCAAGTGATTTATTGATTCGACATGTCCAACAGTAAAACTAAACTCAGCTTTCTCAAACATAAAAATGTTAGTTCATGATTTACGAAGAGTGGCAATTAAATTTTCTGCATAAAGCCATATTTGTTTTGTATAACTTTTTTCCATTTAGTTAATGAAATCACAATTTAAAACTTGCATTTCGTGTTTCCTTCCATTATTTTTACCCTTTGTTTGACAACTTGAAACATTTAAGTGTGACAAAAAAGCAAACACAGAAGAAATCTGTAAGGCGACGTGCATTTTCACAGCCAAGTGTTTATAAATTATGTTTGATGGTGTCTACTCTTATAATCTGATCAAAACTATCTTTACTTCTGCACTTGACAGGAATACTTTACTTTTAAGACATTTCTTAACAGATTTCAGATTCCTGGATTCGGAAATATCTTCAATTAAACTGTTCTGCCGTGACGGCAAAAAGTAACGTAAAAAGAGCAGGAAAGTACGTTTGTGGTTTCCCCTCATGTGACTGAATTAGTGCCCAGCCCTCCTACACATGGTCCACTCCTAACAACACTGCTCCCTTGTGTTTCATTTGGCACCTAAAGCTAACGCACTTGGCTTGTTCTGCTGAGACTTGGCCCTAGAAAGCGAGTCACAGTGGCACAGAGTCATTTTTGTGCTTTATTTATCTCCCTTGAGTTTATAATACTACTTAATCTAATGTAATCTGTGGGTACAAACTTTAAGGCCGAAGAAGTTGTTTTTTAAAGAAGCAAGAAAAAAAGCGTATTCACCTGCAATGTTTCCCTCACTGAAATAATCATCTGTTTCTTCAGTCAGGGTTGAATCTATAGAAATATTTAATTATAAATGTTAGCTGCATCACCATGAAAAAAAAAAAAAAAAACTTGCCTTAAATCCTAAATGTAGTCAAACTAAATGTTTCCCACCCAAGAAAATATACCTTTGGCTTTGTTATTGTGTAAAATTTCACATGAATTAGTCTTCATTGGTGTTGTCTCACTGGTTGCTTCACTGATTTCTGCAGTAATTACCAATAAAGAAAATACTGTCAATGCGTCAGTGCAGATTACCGCATGCGTTCCAAGCAACTCCTCATGCTGCGACGCATGCTTCTACTGGACATGCAAACTTGATCCTTTCTGGGTTTCCATTTAATTCAAAACATGTCCAATTCCCTGCTTTTGAGTTTTATAGTTTGGGTCTAAATTTGTTAACGTGCAGAAACACACATGTTCCCAAATATCCTGTTCAAAATTTACCATCTGCATCACAATGACTGCTGTAATCTGGGCAGCACTGGTTGTACGTTGTGCATTCAGGATCACAGCTACACAGTCGTCCTCTCTTGAAGGTTTCTCCACAGCGACCCTTGCACGAGTTTTCTGTTGCACACAACATCACCAGCTGTTAGCACAACACATCTGCACAGCTTTAATAAATTCACACAAATGTGGAAATATTTGTTTTAACTATTGTATTTAAGTGTTCGGACGTCCCTCGGAAAATGTTTTTTTGTTATTGTAAGCTGCTCAAAGTGAATGCTTGTAATGTTCTTGCCTGTGTGTGTTTGTCGCTGTCTGTTAGCAAAATATATTTTGGACTGCCAAAAGGATTTTAATGAAACTCTCGGAAAATAATCATTAGATGTACATTTTCAGCTGATTAAGTTTTGGAGTCTACTCCACTCAAGATGGCCGCCACAGCTAAGCAAACGTGGAAAAAATAAAAATTCTATAACGGACAATTTAATGCATATTGAGCTGAATTATGGTGTGGTGGTAGGTGAGAATAATCCCCAACACATAAATTGAGCACTACATATACAATATTTTTGCTTAAACTTTGCTGTTAACTGTAGCACAGTTTGTCTGTTAGCAAAATATCTGCTGAACCAAATGGCAGTTTTAATAGAAGCATTCCAAAAGTAATTATTGCATGTGCATCAACATTAATTGAGTCAAGTTCATTTTGGACATTCATTTTACATCAAAGTTTGCTTTGTTTCAATGATACTTTAAAAATTAAAAGAGTGGTTCAAACCCTTTGGCCTCTGACATTGTCAAAAACATTTTGAAGTCAAAGTCACATTTTTATGGGTTGCTAAAATCTCCACCACATAATAATTTTCCCACTAAATTTTCTTACATTGTTGTATTTAATAAAACTTTTTAGCATCTAGTACAGGAAGAAGGTTGTTTTTCATAAACAAGCAATGCAATATACAAAAAATATGTGTCATGGCCATTTTTATTACTTTAGATGAACTATTTGTAACAAAAACTTATATTTTTATTACTGGATTTGTGCCTAAATTTGCTGTTAATATGCTAAAACTCTGTTTCTACTCACTTGTGGTGCACTGAGATTCATAGTCTTTGCAGCACTCGTCATAAGTCAGGCAGCTGTAGTCACACTGACACATGTTACCCCTGTAGTACTCGGCACCACACTGTCCTCTGCAGCTTGCTGCAGGAAAAACAGAAAAAAAACAGGGAAATATCATTAAAAAGTAAAAATTAGATGTAATATTTGCTCCTATGATGGTCTCTGTGTGGACGTGGGGAACGCCACTGCAAAAATCATTTCCTTGACGGACAAACATAAATGTTGACACACGTTCTCCCTCTGGTTAATAATTATCAACAGATTAAATATCAATGAGTGCAACAAAAAACAAACAAACAAGTTTGACCGATTCCAGTAAAAACCCTTCACTTAAATTTCCATCACATAATATTAAATAGTATAATTTGGTTAAAGAGTTATAAATAAAACACAAATGATTCAAATACTCACACTGGGTAGAGCTAAACTTCAAGGCACACACCACCCAAACCACAGCACCAAGTATTTTGGAAGACATTACTGATGTCAAAAACTGAAAAAGACACAAAGAAATAAAGACTAAAAAAACGTTTGATATTTAGTTTAAAATAAAAGTCTTGACACAATAGAGAAATCCAAGGTAACTTACCTTGCTCGAGCTCCTCTCAGCTGGACGTTTGACTCTTTTGGCTTTTAAAGACTCAGCGAGGGAAAGAAGGGCTGACCTCCGGGTAATTAACGAATCAGATTGAATTAAACGTGTGATGATTCACAGGATGCAGGGAGGGACCTGCAGTCCAGACCTCACCATTCCCCACAAGTAGCTGGAAGCACATCAACACTCATCTGAGCCAGACATGGCTGACATCACACACTTCTGAGCAGAGGAGGGGCTCGCTGTTCACTCATAACTCAGAGTAAATACGTTCACAACCTCACAGGCCTTTAAGGTTTGTCCGATCAAAGCCACATGGACAGTTAGATAACTCAAATTGTTATTGACATTACTGTATATAAAAATATTTATTACACATATAGATATACAGTACCTGCTTTCCCACGACCCCAGCTCTTTAATAAGCCCATTTTAGAATTTAACTCAATTACCGAGAAAACATCTGCGCTGTTTGTCTTCTATTGTTGCACTATATTTTTATCTACGTCTTTGTTTTATTCCCTGAAATGAAAAATGAAACTTTTTTTAAAGTTAGTCCATCCTTTCACTTGGTCTGTTCAACCTTCTGCCTTGAAGCAGAACTCGTGTAATACTTGAATTGTACTGTTATGTGAATGGAAGTGTTTTATTTTCGTTTGTAAGTTGTTGTTTTTTTAACTTGGCTTTATGTTTTTTGTTTAGCAAAAAAAAAAAGTTAAATTTATTTTTCACTATTTTTGTAAAATATGCAGATGCATCAAAGTAGGAAGGATCTCCCAAACTCATTGTGAATGAGCCGTATGACAATGAAGACTATCCTGTTCTATTCTATTCTATTCTATTCTATTCTATTCTATTCTATTCTATTCTGTTAGATTTTGAACCACCTCTGTGATCCAGTTAAGCAATCTGCTATTGTGTATTTACCAATAAATAAATAAATAAATGCTAGTAAAGGAAATACAATTCTCTTTTTACAATTAGATGTTAACAATTAGATGTTTTATTTTATTTATTTATTTATTTTTACCATGGTTTGAGAGAGTATAATTTATTTATTTAGTATAGTAGTGGTATTATTATTATTATTATTATTATTATTATTAATAATAATAATAATAATAATAATAATTTGTTTTGTTTTGCAGGTGTGGTGGCGCAGAGGTTAGCGAAGGTGGGCCAGTGATCAGAAGATCTCTGGTCCAACTCCTGGCACTGACAACATCAAAAAAATGTGGGTGGAATTGGTGAAGCACCCCACTCTGTGCCTTTGAGCAAGGCCCTTAACACCCCCATCTGCTCCCTGGGCGCCCTCGATAGCAGCTCTCTGCTGCACACAGAAAGCTGTGGTAGCTCGGTGGTCTGTGGTTGAGTCAGGAAGGGCATCCGGCGTAAAACATAATTGCCAAGTCTTGATGCAAGTTTGCTGTGGTGACTCCTGACGAAGGGAGCAGCCGAAAGAAGAAGAAGAAGAAATAGTTGTATTTTTTTTATGCACATGTTAATTCTAACCCATGTTTAACTGTTAAACTTATTGCAGGTTTTGAACTTTTGGGTTTATGAGCTAGAAAGTGTTAAAACTGCACCGTATCACAGTTCTGGTATTTTCCCATCACATGTTTGCTGGTGCTTGTGTCAAAGCAATAATGACAGCAACGTTTGACTGAAATGTCTGCGTTAACAAAACTGATGAAAGACAAACCCTCTCTCTAAAAGGTCGTTTTAGTTTAAAAACAGACACTCATGACTTGCTGATAAACCTTTAGAGTGGAGTTAGTGCACCGCCTTGTGTTCACAACTTTAAGTGCTATTCTGCAATGAATTATTTAACAACTCCAGTGATTGGTTTTTCTGACCTCAGGTATCTAATTACAAAGGAATTAAATTAAATTTTGACAAGAGGACATTCAGCAGGAAGCAGTTTGTCTAAATGTTACTTCTTCTTATAAGACTTTTATATTATGCTGAACGCTCTGTGAAGTTGTCAAGTTAAAATTAGCTGCAGTAAACAAGGTAATAGATAGAACAACTAATACAAACCCATTAATGTGTTGATTTTACTAACTCTTTTTAAAATTACAAGTTGGCCGTTTGCAGCAGATCACATCTGATATCTTGGCGCACTCTTTTCTTTAAGTTTGTGATCCTTTTTGAGGTTTATAAAGTAAAACTAATGTTACATGATGTAAGTAATTGCCATCTTATCTCCTGTTTGTCTTTTAGCAACATTTTTAATTCTTAAATTTCCAAAATTTACTAATGTACCCAATAAGATAGAGCCATTTTCACTAAATCTGCTTTCTTCTAGTATTTCTCTGCATTTGTAAATACAAAAAAATGACCACTCGTTTATTACCAAAAGGCAGTAAATAGAAATAATAAGTAGATTAAACAATTTTTGATCATATTTTCTATTTTTGTGGTACAGAATGAAGAATGTTTGGTTTAATCATATTTTTCAAGATATAAAGTCAACCACTGAAAAACAAGAAAAAGATCTTGTGAGATGTTTTCGTCCTGCAGACAAATTCCAAAAAAAACATTTTGATCCAACAGTTCAGCAAAATGACAAGCAGCGACACTTGACACAGATGTGCGATTTGAGGAAAAAGGCAGGAATATTGAGAGGAAGCACTCATTTTCACAGATGGATACCGTGCACACTTGTTATCCCCGCAAGATTAGAGGAGCTCCAATGGGAAAAGTGGGCTTGCTTTCTGGTGTCTATTGAGAGCCGTGGAGGCAAATCTTCTGTCTTGGCAACTTTAATCAGCCAGTCTGTGCAAACCAGAGCTAAGCTGATTTGTTGGAGACCCCTCAGTGAGAGGCAGAAACCGGGGGACACATGAGACGTGATGCAAAGGAGGTGGGACAATTTCCTGCAAACAAATGAACAACATGAACTTGAGATCCAAACAGGAAACAGAGAGCATTTGAGAACAGTTTGTTTCTATTCAAAAGAAAATGTGCCATAAAGAACAATTTCATAGATAAACACGTCAAAACTTATGTGACCCATAAAACAGGCATCAAAAGGTGTTTACAGTGTAGAAATAGAACAAGATCATAAGAAGGAAGCAGATGGGAGTGTAAAAGGAACCCTCTTAAAAAATAGGGACATCAACAGGCGAGGACTGGTGATAGGTGATTAAATTTAACAGCTCATTTTATTTTTTCCAAGACACGTTTTTGGATTAAAGGCTCATAAAATGTGTCCTTTTATGCTAATTTATGTTTGCAGATGGAAAGATGAGACACTGCCGGTCACACTTTACAAAAGGAGAAGTTTGGCTAAAACTAAACTTGGGTCCTTGTGCACCCTGCATGATATAATATTGTTATCTGTGTGGTGTAGTTATTTTGAAACACTGACAAATTATATCTTTTGTGGCGCTGTGGTAAATTTAATTACGCTGCAAGTCTAAAGGCAGAAGTTATGATTACCAGATAATTATCACCATTACTGCACAGGAAATGTACAGTGAAGGTGCAGGATGCTACTTTGCTGCTTTTGACGTTATGTTTTGATGCATTGCTGAGGATGAAATCAGGCAGAAGTACATCCAGCAGAGCACAACGGCTCAGATCAATGAGGCTTAACAGCAGGACAAGTGAAGCAAAGATTATCTGTTAGCATCAAAACACGAAATGCATGACCTAATGCAAGATTTAAACAAGGCAAACATCCTTAAAATAGATGCAAACATGTTTTAAAAAGACTTAATGTTTAGTACTAGTTGTCTATAATATGATCTGCTCTTTATGGTATACACAGATATAAAGTACTTCTAACTGATAGATTTGTTTAAAGATTTTTTTAAACGTAGCAACAACAACTAAACTAAAAGAAGCAATAGGTTAGCTAAAAGGAGCAAAATCCTAGTTAGAAGCTCAAAGTAAAAAAAAACTGCTAAAGGTTGCTAAAAGCTAAAAGTATAAAAAGGCTGGCAAAAATATCAAAAAGCAGGCTAAAACTAAAAGTGTCATACAGACACACTATACTGTTCAGAATGGTAGCTAAACCCTAAACTAGTAAAATGAAAGCTAAAAGCTAAAAGGAGTAAAAAGTCCACCCAAAGCTAAAAGCTTAAAGTAGAGAATGGAAGCTAAAAGTTGATGAACAGTAGCTAAAAGTGAAAAGAAGCTAAATGTTAGCTGAAAGCCAAAAGTGGAGAATGGAAGCTAAAAGCTAAAAGTAATGTAGACAAAAATAGAACAAGTTTGCTCAAGTATTTTTTCCTGGGGACAATGTTTTGAAATTTTGGAATTATGGAGAGTGTGATATAAATATTTAATATTATTGTGGAGATTGTGTTTTCATGTTTTCAAAAAAAAAAAAAAAACTGTAGTATGCTTTTTTATAACTGTTTATTGTTGTTGCTGTTGTCCATTGTTGTCATCTTTCTTTGTTGAAATCAGGTCTCTCTTGTAAATGAGTCCTCGAGGCTCAATGGGATTTACCTGTCTAAATAAAGGTTGATTGATTGATGTCACTAACCTGTAGCCTGCTCCTTGTGTTTTCTCCAGCCCTGAGTTACATGAAGTCCTGTTTCCTTGAGCACCTCCTGAGTTATCCTCCTGTGAGATTTACAGCATGGAACCACTTACCTTAACACCTCGTCTTCTTTAGCCGCTTCTCTACGGGTGTGGCTTTACTCAGCACACATCAGCTCAGCATTGGCCAGATGTGTCTCCATTACCTGTTCCTGCTTGGTTTTTGAAACTGCCTCAGTCGTGGATCCAAGCGCGAGCTGAGCAAATGATTTTGACATCAGCAAACTGCAACTATTGATTCAATAATGGTCAGTCAGGTCATCTGGACAGTTTCTTTTTTGTAGAAAGACGTTTCGCCCTCTATGGTTGGGCTGGCTACTGGTTGGTCCACTAAAGGAGTGTACTGCTTGGTGGGGAAACAGTTGACTTGGGACTCCTCAGACTGATGAAGCCCTCTAGATAGAGGGGGAAACGTCTTTCCACAAAAAAGAAACTGTCCAGATGACCTGACTGACAATTATAGGATTTTGTAAGCATTGGTGAACCATGGTAGTGGAGCACGGGCCACAGTTTATTTGAAAGTAACTTGCATTCACTGCAGATAAAACGCTGTTTTTAGAGTTTACTAATACAGTATAGCCTTGAGCAGTTCAGGTGCCTGTTGTGTTTGCGGCTGCACGAACAACCAGGCCAAACTAAATCAATGGCTACAGCAACATATGGACCCAAAACAAAAAGAGTGTTCCTGTGAAAAGCGGTATAGTTTCCATCGCCTACCTACAGATGAGGAATTAAGAAGAATGTGGCTGAAAAATCTGAACGTGAAGAGACCACCCAAAACGTTGTAAGTGTGCTCATTTTACGTTGTTGACAAACGGCCGACGGAGGAAAATCTGCATCCTACTTTGTGGCTGGACTACAATAAACCGCCAAAGAAGAGATGCCAGATCCTCAGATTGAAAACAATGTGATGAGAATATCAGGTATAATTTCAAGTGTATGAAGGGCACAGCATTATAGTATTTGTTCATCTTCGGTTTTACAATTTTCTCTGGTGTGGCTGGGCTCTACGTCTGCTTTAAGTTAAATAAGATTGTGTTCCACCTCTTAACAAAACGCGATCAACCTTATTACTGTGTACCAGTAATTACTAATGTAGTGGACTAGGCCTGATGTCAAAACTGACCAGATGGACAGAAACTGTCATTTCATTGATTCACACTACACTAATACAGAGCTAGTGTAGTGCTAGTTTTTATAATCTGCAGCCACTTCTTCAGGCCGTCCTCTCATCCCTTGTACGCAGTAGTGGCATGATTATATTGTCCTGTTTGAGCTCTGACAGGTGGTGTTCCTACATTAAATTAAATCCACAATGCTTGGAGTAACTACATTAATTTGTACTGTTCGCACATAAACAAATGCCGGTTCTGGTCCACGCTGGAAGAAGTTGTGCCCATAATTCAGCAAGGCAGCATGGAGCCTAGGAATAAAGTGGATAAGACTAACTTTTTTCATTTCAGGAAGTCAGAACCAGTCAGAAACTCAGACATGAAGTAAGGCATGAATAAGTTGTGATGCACTGACTTTCTGTGAGTCTGGCTGTTCTCCAAAGCTGTGTAATTTGATGAAATATACACCTGATCGTTTATTAAGCTGCTTTTGTCTACAGCAGAGAGCTCTGTGTATTTCTATATGGAAAGCATTTGTAAATAAAGGTAAATACTCATTCAACCTTTATTTATACAGGTTAGTCTCATTGAGTCACGAGGACTCGTTTACAAGAGAGACCTATTGTAGATAAGCCACAGATAATGTACACACAATAATTAACAGCCATAAAATACATGCAAAATAAAAAGTAAATAAAAGTAGTGACATAAAACAAAACACAATGAAGCTACATTAAAAAAACATTTGGTAAAACGCTAAAATCAGGAACATCTGCGTTGATTTTTGCATTTAAAGTATTTTTGCATGAAAAGTATAAGTTACAAAAACAAAGTCAGAACACCATCTGAACAAAGAGAATGTATGCAGTATGCACAGTACAGTATGCAGAAGTAGTACACTTCAAAAACACACTGGAATGAATCAAATTCTGAACTGGATTCACACATTGATTTCTTCTAACACTTTTGTAAGACTCTTAAGAGCCAATTGTTTGCTGTTAGGAAAACTTTAAAGATTTGATGTTGAAAGAGTGTATTCACTTCTCCTTGAAGTTTTGGAACAGTAAGATGTAAGAATTTTACTAAATTTGTGGGAAGTTATTTGCAGCCCTCCATTGTGGAAGCAATATCCGATCCAGTGACTCGAAGAAACTAATAAAGGAAGCTGGTTTTGCGATGAGGGTTGCTCTAGAGCTTTTGGAGATGGTTGTGTAAAGAAGAAAACTGCACAAGCTGCTCAACATAATGAAGAGCACACTGCCTACTCCTCTGCAGTAAAGCAGCATCACAAATCCTTCCTGCACATGCGATGGCCTTGCACAACAACTTTAGCCCATGAAAGGCAATTCATATATTTTTTTAATTTTTGAAGGAAATACATTTTTTATTATGTTGTATCATAAAAACACAATCAGAGTTTTGAATTTTTGATTTAGTAAAATGCACCAATTGTAACAGTTTGGCCCAAATCGCTAACAAAATTATTTGTCTCATAGCATTTTTCCAATACTTATTGAATATTAAACATAAAACTTCCACTTTATTTAAACAAGCACAAACAAATAACATGCATAATTAACTGTAGTAGAATGATCATGTATTCTTCAAAGTTATTATGCTAATTTCCTTTTAATCGTAACCTCTTACAAATTACTGTATCTGCTTTGAATTTTTACGCTTTACGTGATCATATTTATTTCAATGTTTACAAGAGTGCACAATTTACTTTGTGAAACATAAAAAAATAAAATAAAATCAAATAAAAAAACTTGTCAAGTTTAGAGAAATCCAGGGGAAAATATTCAGGCAGAGAATTATTAATTTACTGTATACTCTATTACAGGTAGGGTGTTGGTAACATTAACATTAAGTGGCCATAGGTGTGTATCCGTACTTAGTGTCTCAAAAATATTTATAAAATATAATTTTGCAGATGTTTTTTCATACTGTAGCTCAAATCAACAAAATTGTCAAAGCCGAGGCAACAACCTTATTATTTTCAAAAAATCCCATAATTTCTCAATTCTTGATTTGATTTATTGATTGCAATTTACAATGAGCAACTTTACGAGATCAATTTTATTGAGGAAAAAATATATATTCACATTTCTTTTGTATCATATATTTCTAACGTTTCTTTTAATGCCGTTGTACCCAGTAGCCAATCATCTGCTAGTATACAATTTTAGTCCCGCCTTCATGTGGTTGCTATGTCTACTACACGTTTCTGTATGATTGACGGGCTGAGTAGCCAATCAGATTTGAGCTGAGTGGAAGAACGCGCTTGCTCACAACTGACTGATGAATTTGTACTACTACAATCAAACCGTGCGGTGAGGAGGACCGAAGCGGCTTCAACACTCGGGATGGGAAATGTACTTTACGTTGCCTGAAGACTTTGTCCAGGTAAGGAATGGTTCTTCGTCTTTTTGCCGTCCTCTCTGCCAAGAATATGGGAAGTAGGCTTGAAAGTGTCCGCTGAAACGAGCTCGGACTTTTTAAAAATAAATAGCAAGCACCAGCACACGCGCTCGTTTGACATTTGAACGGAGGGAAATTATGCTAACAGCAGAGGGGGGAAAACTAACAACAAGAAAGGTCACGTATATGTTTGAAATATACAAAAACAGAATATTAGCTTTTACAGCGGGTCTGCGACGCTACTTTGCTGTCATTTATTAGGATATTTGTGGATTCATTGCATTTTTAATGAATTCCATTAGTGGATTATTGTGTGAATTTTTACACTTATTTGAATCCTGTCTGCTTAAATCACTTTATTGTGATTAATGCTGATGTTTTAAAACATATTTCTATATAAGAGCTTGTATGTAATTGCTGGACATGAACTTAAATTCAATCTATGATATTAGGCATTGAGAAGACATGTTTACATGTTGCACCAGCTGCCCAGGCTTTCACTTGGAAAACACAAAATATTAATGATTACTGGACCAAATGGATCAGAAAATATATTTTTTTAAGGATGTCATAGGATAATAAAAGGTTGTCTGTGCCTGTAAATTCAAACACACTATATAAATTGGAATTAGTAGTCTAATGCAAGAAGAAACTAAAAGGAACTTTCAGTATAAAAAGTATTTAGTCTGGATGTGTTGAACTGAAATTTAATATTTTGTTGGATCATTTTTAAAACTCGACATTTTTGTTTATTAAACTTAACTTTATAGGTGACAATCCAAAACAGTTGCTCATTTTCAGACTAAACATCAAAGTGAACTGTTTCAAAATGGAACAAGTCTTGTAAATACCAACAATAAGTTGAGATTTTCCATTTTAAATGTGTAGTTGCTTGTAACCTTTGTCAGTATAAATGCGTTCTGGGGTTTTAAAGTTGTGGTTTTAAGGGTGGCCTGCCTGCCTCTCTGTCATTGCACCACACTGCTCCTTTTCCCCATGTTTCCTGCCGCTTTCAACTTTCTACCCAGCAGAAGGGTCTGAAAAAATATCTAGTCACTGGTAATTTCTGAGTCAAAACTCAACTGTTTTAACTGATTAACATCTTGCCTTTAAAAAAAAAAGTTTATTCTAATTTCTCTAGATTTTCACATTTTTTTGTTTGTTTCATGGCATCACATTTCTGGGGTGCAGGTAAACCACTGTCAGGTTGCACAAAAATCACTAAAGTGGAATTCCCCTTTCATTGCCTGACTGAAGTTTAGTTTTTCAGTGTGACAAATGAATCTATTTGCAGACAGCTATAGCTTGAGCCACAGTGTTTGCATAATCAGCTGCCTTTATGAGCTACAGTTTATCTGCTGTTATTGCTTTTCTCCCTCTGTGTCTGAGAGCAAATGGATGCTGCCAGTTCGTTGGACATCATCTAAAGAGCTAAACAATGCTTGCATTGTGTCTTGACTTCTACCAGGCTGCAAGTGAGGTAAACAAAGAAAAGCTATTAAAAGCGTGGGTTTAACGATCTATATTTAAAAGGGAAAGTGCACCAAAGTTAAGAGGAACAGTCATCTTTTTGCCCATATTTTCAGTTTACAGGCACATTTCACCACAGTTCATTCACGAAGAGCGTATTACATGCCTTTTAGGTGACGCCAGTCTAAAAATAAACTAAAGAACACGAGTTAACTCTCAGTCTAGAACTAAAGTAAGTATTGTATGGAATATAAACAAATATATTCTGCTCTAATTTGAAGAAGTTTCATTTGATCTCCTAGGGGTCCACTGAAAGTTATTACTCAGTCACATGTGGTGATGCCTATAGATTTTAGTTTTTAATGTAGCACTCCAAAGTGAATGAATGGATGCTTTTTTCAGAGCAGCAGCAGGGCGACACTGATACTTGTATCTTTTTGTTTTAATGAAAACAGTGTTTATTCGTAGTTAAAGAGCATAAGGATATAATTAAACAATAAAGTTTAACTGAGCTAAAATGATCTGTTGACTTTTTGATTAGATTATCAAAATAACACATTATTCCCCAATTAAAGCTGTTTTTGTACCCTAATTTATTCATTTACTTCATTATTGAAGTAATTGTCCCTCTGTTATTTTATATAACATATCCTTAATTGGTGTTTTGATGATCCTCTAAAGCACTTTACCTCATGTTTAATTGGATTTAGATCTAGAGATCGGGAAAAAAGCATACACCTCACATTAAACTAGAAATCACTTTTAGCACAACAGTAGTCACACTGTGGAAGAGCTCCTCCATTAGTTTTAGGCCAAATATCTTGGCACACTTTTTGAGCTGCTAGGTTATAGATTGCTGTTTTTGCAGTCACTGTCAAAACGGCAAGTAAAAAAGGTCCTCAAACCATTTGCTGTCATCCTTGGTTTTTGCTGACAGGATTTTCCTCACACAACCAATTACCAAACCACATTTTATCCTTAAAGATGTCAGGGATGAAAGCTGGTAGGGAAACGGTGGCACTGACAGGTGCCAGTTGACCTGATTTGCATTTTGATTTGAATTAGATTAAATGTCTGTTCTGAGTTAATGCTTTATGACAGTCATTTTGTTTGATTATCCAAAGAGCGAAGAATAGTGATGCACATACAGCTAAAACTTCCCAGGTGGCCGATTTTGTTAGCTTTATGACCCATAAACGTGTAAATAAGTTTAGCCCCTTTCTTAGTTCCTGGCTTTCTTACAGCACATTATTGGGTGGCCATGATGACTATAAATTATACATGTTTAGGCTCTAATATGTAGGTCAAAGTGCTTCAAGGCCTGATTCTGCATTTGCCAAACAGCAGAGCACACAGAGGCTGGAAATGAAAGGCAGGGAATGGTAAAATTAACCTGCTAGTTAATTAAAACATAACTGGAAAGCTTCCAGTTCAGAGCAGCTAGTTTTGGTACACTTATCGGTAGTATAATTGTGACTATGTTTAGAGTTCAGATGAGAACAGGTGGCAGCCTGCAGGGAAACCCTACAAGCTGCCTCTGAGGCTGTCAGTGGCTCAAGCCAAAGTGTATATGGTACAGATGGGGGTAGGGATAGAAGATAGAGGAGTGGGCCTGCTCCTGACTTAGTTATCGTTTTATGCCAAACTGTGAAGAATAATGTTTTGTTGAAAGTGAGCATCAGCTTGAGAGGGGAAACTTTGACTTCATAATCATCTTTTTGCATTCAGTTTTCATTTATCAAAATAACTAGAGCTGAAAGAATGAGCTCATTAATCAAAGTAATAAAACAATACGCCTAAATATCCAGCCATTTTCTTGCTTATTAAATAATTTATCAAGACACATTATGTACTGGTTGCTTCCAGCTTCATAGACAATCATTCTGGTGCTGATTCTTGGTCAAGTTTTTGTTTTTCCTCCAGCAACCTTTAGCATTTAAAATTCTTACGGTGGATACAAAACAAAAGAAAACATTTCTGTTTTCTAAAATGAAGTTAAATATTAACTCACAGTAGAGTGATGTGTTTCAGGTGTTTAAAAAATTTTTTTTTTTAATTTTTTTTTTACCTTGAATGATTTAGCTCCAAAAGAGATGAAGGAAGTCATTTTTATTAACTCTAGCAAAAACAGAAATCACAGTACCGTATTGGTTTTAACATATGGCTGTTGAAATACATAATTTTCAATGTTTAGGAATTTATGTGTTTAACACAATATCTGCATAGTTAAATTATTTTTGGGAGGTAATGTAACCTCATGAGGGTTTTTGTAAAAAAATGTTTAAAAAAACAACAAAAAAAAACAAATATTGCCCGCCTTTACTTCCAATAAATTTGGCGATCGGTTACAATTTGTAGGTGACACAGTGGCGCAGTTGGTAAAGCTGACGCCTCTCAGTGAGAAGGACGCTGGTTCAAATCCCGACCCGGGACCCTTCTGGGTAGAGTTTGCATGTTCTCTCTGTGCATGCGTGGGTTTTCTCCGGGTACTCAGGTTTCCTCCCACATACCAAAAACATGCATGTTAGGCTGATTGGTAACTCTAAATTGTCCCTAGTGTTAGAGAGAGGTTGTTTGTCTCGTTTGTCTCTACGTGTCCCTGTGATGGACTTGCGACCTGTCCAGGGTGTACCCCTGCCTCTCGCACAGTGATAGATGGACATGGGCACCAGTTGACCCCTGCAACCTGAAAAGGAAGAAGCGGGTAAAGATAATGGATGGGTGGTTAAAATTTGTTACAGAAATATTCCCATCGGAGTTCAGCATCTCGGCATATAAGTTTTACTTTATCGCTCTTCACCGCTCAAATTTTTTTCCCTAAAATTACCATACTCTGCTCCTGTCAACTATTATCCTTACAGCTTTTAGCTGCCGTTTCTTTTCATAAAAGGAGAGAATGATCTATAGGTTTGCTTTCAATGCCTTTGTTCTACCTTTCCCACTCAGGTTACATCCAGAGTTTATTTTGCTGACTCAATGTCTTATCAGTATCCACTGAGACTGTCTGAAGGGTACTCATCAATATCTGAACGTAAATAAAGGACTCAATTTGTTGCTAACAAAACATGATTTTGCTGATTTGGTCATTTGACAAATTATGCTTTTTTTCTTTTTTACTTGTGAGGAGCACACCGGTGCAGTGACTATAACTGTTGCCTTTCAACAAGAAGGTCCCTGGATCGCTTCCTGGCTTTTCAGAGTGGAGTTTACATTTTCTCCCCGTGCATATGTGGGTTTTCTCTGGGTACTCCATTTTCCTCCCACAGACTCAAAATATGCACATTAGGCTAAATGCTAACTGTAAATAGGTGCAAGTAAGAGTGTGAATGGTTGTTTGTATGTGATGGACTTGTGACCTGTTCAGTGTGTATGTACCCCGCCTTTCACACTGTGAATGTTGGAAATGGGCACCAGCTGCCAGCAACCCATCCATACATCCATTTTCTTCCGCTTATCTGGGGTCAGGTCGTAGGGGTAGAAGCCTAAGTAGGGAGGCCCAGACTTCCCTCTCCCCA